CTCTTGTGGGATTGCCATATTTAAGGTTACCATATTTGTGAGCTATTTAGTAGATAGCTCCTTTTTGATATGTTTATATCAATCCCACAAGGATTAGGGAGCTATCTAATAAGATGAAAAACCAAAGTTCTAAAAAAGCCCTTCCTATTTATAATTTTGGCCTTTCAGACAACTTTACTCATACTAATTAACAAATACATGTTGTCGCAAGTAGGGGCATGTCTACTAAACAGTTAGCCAGTGGCAGTCAGCTCCATAGCAGCTGTCATTACTGTGATTTCCAAAGATGGCTTGTTGTGCTAATTACAGACGGATATCACTTAAATACAAATCTGAAGTTACTTTCAAAAACTCTTTCAGTCCACTTGAGTAGAGGGATGCTGGGCCTAGTCCACCTGAATCAGGTGGGGCTTACACCTGGTAGAGAGGCAAGGGATAATATCATATAGGCTTTCAAAATCATGCATGCAGCTCAGAGAGCAGATAGATAACTCCTTCTCCTCTCTACCAATGCATAGAAGGCCTTGGCAGCGTGGATTGGCTATTCCTTACCTCAATCCTCCAGCATATGGGGATTGGGCCTCACATAGAAACGTAAATTGCTGCCCTCTACACAGTCCCAAATGCGCACATATAGAGTAATGGAGCACTCTCATAGCCATTTCAGATAAGGAACAGGACGAAGCAGGGGTGCCCACTGTCCCCTCTTGTGCTTGTCCTCACTCTAGAACCCTTTCTGGAGGCGGTCAGATAGGACAGGGGTTCTCCCAAGGTCATATAGAACACAGAGTAGCCAACTATGCAGGCAATAATCTTTTCTTCATGGAAAGTCCCTTAGTGACCCTTCAAAACCTTTTAGGCATTTTTACAGAATATGGGCACATCTCTAATCTAAAAACTTAACATGGACAAATCAGAGGTGCTTAAGGTATCATTATCAGAGGTGGCAGCTGACCATCTACGAGCACAATTTCCATTTTAGTGGTGTTCTGGGCATCTTAAGTACCTGGAGATTTAGTTAAACAAGGATCTGAGGCACTTATACCAAGACAAACTCTCACATATCTCAATGGTTCGGACAATGTGTTTCATGGCTTGGTAGGATTAACACCATCAACACGAACCTCCTGCCTCAGTTACTACATCTGTCCAGATGATCCCTATTTTGATCCATAGAGCTAATTTTAAATCACTTATTATCGTTTGGAAGAACAGAGCTGCTAGGGTAAAGCAAACACAATTTATTATTCCCAAGCACCTTCATGTTAACATACTACCAAGTGACTCACTTACTCTGAATTGCGGGCTAGCATGTACATAAGTCCCCCAAACTGTGTGTGAGCCTGTAGATATCACAGGCCGAGAGTAAACTCCACTCCTTACTGTGGCTTGATAGATCCACGGTGAGAAGTCTTATACACCCTGTTCCAAATTATTATGCAAATTCTATTTAAGTGTCACAAAGATTAAATATTTTTTTTTTCAGTTTAACTCATGGATGGCATTGTGTCTCAGGGCTCTTTTGATCACTGAAAACAATCTCGGACACCTGTGATAATTAGATTGCCAGGTGATCCCAATTTAAGGAAAAACTACTAAAGGAGGGTGTTCCACATTATTAAGCAGAGCACCATTTTCATGCAATATGGGGAAGAAAAAGGATCTTTCTGCTGCCGAAAAGAGTGAAATAGTTCAATGCCTTGGACGAGGTATGAAAACAGATATTTCACGAAAACTTAAGCGTGATCATTGCACTATTAAGAGATTTGTGGCTGATTCAGAGCACAGACGGGTTCTTGCAGATAAAGGCACATTGACGAAGATTTCTGCCAGATCCATGCATCGGATCAAGCGAGCAGCTGCTAAAATACCATTACTTAGCAGCAAACTAATATTTGAAGCTGCTGGTGCCGCTGGAGTCCCAAGGACATCAAGGTGTAGAGTCCTCCAGAGTCTTGCAACTGTGCATAAACCTTCTATTCGGCCACCACTAACCAATGCTCACAAGCAGAAAAGGCTGCATTGGGCAGAAAAATACATGAAGACTAATTTTCAAGCAGTCCTGTTCACTGATTAGTGTCGTGCAACCGTGGATGGTCCAGATGGATGGAGTAGTGGATGGTTGGTGGATGGCCACCCTGTTCCAAGGCTGTGACGTCAGCAAGGTGGTGGTGGTGGAGTCATGTTTTGGGCCGGAATCATGGGAAGAGAGCTGGTCGCCCCGTTTAGGGTCCCCGAAGGTGTAAAGATGACCTCTGCAAAGTATGTGGAGTTTCTGACTGACCACTTTCTTCCCTGGTACAGAAGGAAGAACAATGCTTTCCGTAATAAAATCATCTTCATGCATGACAATGCACCATCTCATGCTGCAAAGAATACCTCTGCATCAATGGCTGCTATGGGGATAAAAGGAGAGAAAGTCATGGTGTGGCCTCCATCCTCCACTGACCTCAATCCTATTGAGAACCTTTGGAGCATCCTCAAGCAAAAGATCTTGAGGGTGGGAGGCAGTTTACATCCAAACAGCAGCTCTGGGAGGCTATTCTGACATCTTGCAAACTCAAACTGACCAAAAACTCACAAGTTCAATGGATGCAAGACTTGTGAAGCTGCTATCAAATAAGAGGTCCTATGTTAAAATGTAATGTGACCTGTTAAAATGTTTAAAAAGTTAAAATGTTGCTGTAAGTTTGATTGAAATAGCTTTTGATTTCAGTAAATATGCTGCAAACACAACAAATGTCAGTTTTCAGTTCTTTACAACCTATAAAGTGTTTTCAAACTTACTGTGCGTATTAATCTGGAACAGTGCATTGTAAGTTTATGTTTAAAAAAATACTGTTATCAATAAAATTTGAATTGTACTCTTAATAGTTGATAACATGAGAATTATGCTGACTGTTATTTACATAAATTATTTAGGTAAATGAGAAAAATACAATTTGCATAATAATTTGGAACAGGGTCATGGTGTAGCTATACATCCATTCATGGGAGCTACTTTGAAGGTTTGGTACTTCACTCGAATTACATATTAGCTAACAACATCCCCTTGCCCACTTACCCCTTTCACACACAGCCTCGACCTTGCAGGAGGAATTCTCCCCTCGGAGCTTTGAGGTTTCAGAGTTATCGATTGGGCATACATGCAATAGTGGTGTAATTCGAGCACAGAAAAACCACTAGCAGAGATGGTCCTGGACCATGCATCCTCAGGTTTAAAAATACAGACCTACACACCGTATTCACAGGGAACTGACCCAGTTTGAGACTTTCTGCTCTTCACGAACTTATGAGACATGGGGTGTCTAAGTCCTTCATACTATGCTGCTGGCTGCTGTTCCCAGGGAGTCCCCTAGGTTTGTTTCTAGGTGGGAGGCAGAGCTATGAATTTCACTCACTGATCAACAATTGGAAAAAATATTCATACTCTCCCACAAGAGCTCAATCTGTTCCAACTTTCAGGAATTAAATTATAAGTTACTACAAATTGTTACAGAACTGCATGACTGTGGATGTCCCGGATATGTGTTGAAGATGTGGGAAGAACTTTGGCACTAGCTTCGGGTGATCCTGTTCTGTTATTACCTCTGTAAAGAGTTTAATTCGCTCCAATTAAACAGAAATAGTTAACATTGATCTTCCCTTCCAACCACTACCGATGTTATTACATCACATAAGGTCCCACTGTCAAGATACAGAAAGTTGCTTACATAGCTACATAGCTGTAAAGAGACTTGCGTCCATCAATTTCAGCCTTCCTCACATATGTTTTTGCTGTTGATCCAAAAGAAGGCAAAAAAACCTAGTCTAAAGCGCATCCAATTTTGCAACAAACTAGGAAAGAATTCCTTCTTGACCCCAAAATAGCAGTCAGATGTCTCCTTGGATCAAGCAGCTATTACTCTAATTAGAAATGATATCCCTGTTATGTTTTTGCAAGTATTTATCCAATTGCAGTTTAAACATCTGTATGGACTGATAAAAAGCACCTCTTCAGGCAGAGAATTCCATATCCTTATTGCTCTTACTGTAAAAACAAACTTTTCTTTGCCTTAGATGAAATCTCCTTTCTTCCAGCTTAAATGCGTGACCTTGTGTCCTATGTATAGATTTCCAGATAATGGTTTGTACTGGCCATGAATATATTTGTATAATGTTATCATATCGCCTCTGAGGTGCCATTTTTCCAAACTATAGATTTTTAAAATTTTTTAACCTTTCTTCGTAACTAAAATGCTTCATTCCTTTTATCAATTGTGTAGCTCATCTCTGCACTTTTTCTAGTGCCATGATATCCTTCTTTAGAACAGGTGCCCAAAATTGCACAGCATATTCAAGGTGTGGTCTTAACAGCGATTTATGAAGAGGCAAAATTATATTTTCATCCTTAGAATTTATGCCCCTATTTATGCATGACAAAATCTTACTGGCCTTAGCAACTGCAGATTGACATTGAATATTGCTGCCTAATTTGCGGTCTATAACAATTCCCAAATCCTTCTCGTGTGTGGTTATCCCTAATTCACTACCATTTAGTGTGTGAGTTGCTCGTGCATTCTTGACTGCATGTCTTAGAATCCTGAAACTTAGCATATTGGAAGGGAAGAAACAGAGGGAATACAGATTAGGTTTTTAGAGGGATAGCCAATAGCAAACCCTTTTTCATAAACCTATATATATATATATATATTTTTTTTTTTTTTTTTTCCTATTTCCTTCTCTCTTTCCTATCCCGCCCCTTCCCCTCTTTTCACCCATGTTTTACTCCCCTCTGAAAGAAAAACTGATACATGCTTGTGTGACATGCATGAAGATAAGAAAATAAGTTTAATTGTTTACATCCTCTAGCATCGAGTTTGACTATGTAACTTCCAAACTATGTCACAATTACGCTTTGAATTAGTCGTTTTTCAATCCTTCGATAGGTAACATATCAAGATAAAGATTGGCAATAAAAAAAAATTAATAAAATAAAGGCACAATTTTGCGGTGCACAATTAGAAAGATTTCAGGTGAGAGACATAAGCGGCTTGGAGAGAAGTGAGGGGGAGAACAAGAAGGGGGACAGTGGTGATGGTAACATAAGATGTGGAAATGAGTAGGAAAGATGTAAGTAGAGTAGAGATGGAGAGGGTGGCAAATGGGGCACAGGGAGAGGCATAAGTGAGGAGATATACCTGATATGAGAGAGGAATATACAATTTAGGTGGATGTGAAAATCCAAGAAAGACAAAAACTAATTAAGAATTACATACACCTACATTCACACACACTACACGCAATCCAATTTCCTTAACACATACAAATGAACATTATAGGTGGAATAAAACAGTTATTATATTGAAAATAATTATATAAAATATATCCCTTGTAATAAAAATGTTAATATCATAAAGGATACGCAATAGTGGTTTCGATCGAGATGAAATCTTGCCTGTACTTGCTCTGGGAGAAGACAGCTTTACAGAAAGTTTACTGAGTTTTAGATCCCGTGCGGTGGGCGTATAGTTATTTGCTATAGAGTTGCTAGGGTTGCGGTGATAACGTTGTTCTTTAAATGGAGCTGCCAGAGTCCATGATGTGCTTTGCATTAGTGGGGGATAGTGACTGTGCTTCAAGACCAGCTGGGGAAAAAAAATAAAATAAATGTCAACAACAAATAATTATATATTTTGCGCTGTAGATTTATTGTTACAGCTACCAGCAAATAAACAAATACATGTGACAGGCACTAAAATAACGTACGTTAGCTTGGCCATCCATTCTTCAAATGTGGTTTAATATATCATCATAGATTCTGCAAAACACCTTAACTATATTCTCCCCAGAGTCATGCAGGTCTCTAATGCAGAGCCCATTGAGTAAACAATGTAGCATTAGTCGGAGACCCGCCTAATATAATTAGGCCTGATCCAGTGTTTATAAAGCAATGAAACAAATACTACACATTGCTTCTCCATGTTAGATTATAGATAATGGTCACATTTTGTCAGTATTCTAAACAAACCAATGTGAGAATTATAGGCTCAAACTGACAATGTATGACAGCTATCTTGAACATTGGTGAATAGCTATTAAGGAATTCAGGCTACGTTGCTTGAAAAGAGGTGATCTATACCAAAGGAATATATCCATCAGGTGTGAATAAGTCGTTGAATATCACCCATACATTTTATTTCATGTGAGGCTCCATTATCTTTTAAAAATATTAACAAACAAATAGTGAGGGAGAATAATCAAAGTGTACTATTCTAAAATGTGCTGCAAAATTGTAAAGTGGAGGAGTCACCAATGGAATGGGCTGCTAATTTCCTGTTTCTATGGTAATCTCCACAATTTAGTACTTTAAAGCATTTTTTAGAACAACACTATTGATAAAATTTCCCCCATTCTTTCTTATTTTCGTCCTCTGTACTTTTGAAGGCTATCCAGTTTTGATATGTTTTGAGCTTGACAGACTATTTCAGGATCTTTTCCCAACGTCTTGAGTTTATTCCATGGTGTCCTGTTCTTCGAGACACTAAGGAACTGCCCCCTGGGAAACATAGCATGAGCACACTTAGGGCACTAGGACCATGCAGAGAGTACTGTAATAGCACTCTCTGCATGGTCAGTCCGTAGTGGGCTGGTCTTGCGTTCAACCAATTTCATCCAATTCCTTCAGGCTAGGTCTGCCACGTTGGCCAGCAACATTGACATGGTGTGTATTTCTAAATTTAATGTTAGTCTGTGTCCGATGCCACAAACCTTATTTTTAAACAAAGAAAATAATATTAAAAATAAAGGATGACGGTTTCACAAAAATAAATAAATAAATAAATAAATAAATCTCTTGAGAAAGAAGGGATTTCAGAGTATATTTAAGAAATCCAAACACATCCACTTAAAGATTTCAAATATGCAATTTCCTATACAAAATAGAACCAGTAGGAATGCAACGTATCTTTTTTATTGAACGTTATCTGTAACTACCTACTGCTCTCAAATCTGCGTACAATTTAAAATTTATTTCATATCTTTTAAAAAAATATTTAAAGCAGCAATATCACTGTCTAGGGACTTTGCCAAATTTCCAAGACCCCCGAAGATGACACACTCACTGGTGGTCCAGTGGCTGGGAGGGGTGGTAAATGTAAGATTTACTTACTTGAACCCGTCTCTCGTGGATGCAGAAAATCTTCCTTGGGCCAGTTTGCTTCAGCACCCCAGGAGCCAATGTCATTGCTGTACTCTGTCTCCACAGACAGAGCCAATTCCCTGCAGCCATCACTGATAGCTTTCAGGATTGACACTGTAACTCTGCCCAGTAAGTAAGAAAGTCAGGTACATGAAATATATTGAGACAAAGTAGTCTACTTTGTCTCTGTACCTCTCTTTACTGGGTTTGAATTTCATAGATCTCAAGATTCTGCTTAGACAGCAAAACTGAGTACCCGGACCTGTACTTCATTCCATAACAGCCAAGCCAGAAACCACAGGCAGATTGCTAGAAATATGTGTTTTTTTTATTTATTTCAGTGTGTGTCAGTTTGTCAGAATCACTGTCACTGAATGTATCTGTGTGTCAGTGTGTATGTGTATCTTTTTGCATGTATCCATGTGCATATTTGCCATAAAGTGGACATTTTATTTTTCAAATGTTGGCAACTAAGTTTTCACTATTTTTGTTACCTCTCTCTGTCAAACATTTCACTGCATTCCTGAACCTTAATCCCCTGCAAAAACAGAATATTCAAATTATATACATTTTTCAACTGTAGGGTAATAGCTTCTGAGATCCAAGGATAATTCTGACTGCCATTCTGGGGTCAAGAGGGAATTTATTTCCTAGTCTGTTGCAAAAGTGCTTTGAGCTGTTTTTTTTTTTACAATGAGTGTGTGTGTCTGTCTGTGAGTGTCTGTCTGAGTGTGTGTGTCTGTCAGTATGAGTGTGTGTCAGTGAGTGTGTGTGTGTTGGTCAGTGTTGCATTGGCTGCGACTGGACAGTGGAGTACCTGGAGGTGCATGGAGGCATGCAACGCCACGTCACATTCCGACGTGACATCGACATGCTCCACCTTCACAGGGTTTCAAGAAGTAGCGGGAGGATCAGATTTGGCACAGGGTGCAGACGGCGCCATTTGGGGACTCCAGAGTCACATTCTGGCAGCGTCCATGTGAGTGGAGTCTGCTTGTTTGCTAGAGCGGGGTGCAGGGATTTAGTATATGGGGGGGGGACTGGGATTTAGTAGAGGGGGGTGCTGTGGTTTAAAAGAGGGAGATGCTGGGGGTGGGGGTTTATACTGTACTTTTACAAAATAAAACCTACTTTTCTATGAAAATTTAAGGGGTTTTTTTTTGCGGCCCACATAAACTTAAACCTTGTTTATTTGGCCCGTGCTAGACTTTGAGTTTGACATGCTTGGTCTAGACCCTCAACATATTTTAACAGTCATTACTGATTTTGTAACAGCAATAATGTTCTTTGTCTTCTAAAACAGCCTTCTATAGACCACCAGACACCAATTTAGAGAAAATTGCTTTTTTCTAATTTTAGAATGCAGAATACAAAACATATCGCATATTTAACTTAATAAACATGCACATAATACAAAGCAAGTGTTCCTCTTTATACTAAAAGTAATTAGTGAACAGCAAAGCATCTTCACTTTGCAGTGTAAAAAAACCGAAAATGTAAACTAATAACATAATCCCTTCTTTGAAGCCACTGTACTAAATATGTCATATAAAGCTTCAAACCTTTAGACAGAAGCTTTGCGGGGAGGGGGGTGAAAAAAGAAAAAAGAAAAAAGAAAAAAAAAAAGACAAGACTTAAGAAGACTATAAATCACCATATTCTACTTGCTGTGATATGCTGAGAAATGTGCGTGGGATGTTTAAGCTGAGGAGTATGATAGTAAGTCAAAGATCCATTGAACTTTATATCAAGACATACAATCTTTCATCTGAATGTTACAGCAAGAGTTGCAAAGTATATGTACTGCTACAGCACACACCTCATGGGTGATTGCCTACTTTTATATTGTGACATTGTTATCTAAGCATTACAGCTTTTTTTTTTTTTTACTTTATGATTGGGGTAAGAGTACAAATCTCAGACTCACTTGATGTCAGGAAGGCTATACCCAACACGCAGGACGGAAGTGAACAAACAAATTAATATAATAAACCTGAATACTAAAATGTATCACCGGGCCTTAGAGTGGCCCTATTCTATTTATAATCTATAACATAAATAGAATAATAATAGACAGGTGGCCGAGATCAGGAAAACAGAGCATATGAAAATCAATAAGACAAGCCAAGGTTCAGGAAAAAGGAAAGAAAGGAGAATAGTCAATAAACAAGCCGAGGTCAAAATATTCAAGAAATAGCAATAGGAAACTCGGATAAACACTAGGGAAACCACAAAAGGGCACAGGAACAACCAAACGAGTTTATATAGCCTCGGCAGAGCCATAATTGATGAGTCCCTGTCACATGACGCCATAACGTGCATGTGCAATGGCTGTGCGTTGATGCACATATGTTCACATCAGTTATCAGACCCAGGAAGGCAAGGCCTTTTAGCAGCTGCTGGTGTCAGGCCAAATACCGGAAGAGACCGGGGACATAGGAGACAGAGGCATGAGCAGCACATACAGCAGGCGAGTCAGCCACCCAGGGACATGATGCACTGAGTCCACCTTGCAGGTGCTGCAACACCTGAAACCTTCTTCAATGACTATCTGTAATTTTAACACAACCATCTTAGCTTCCTAATTACTTAAGCTGATTGTAGAAAACTGATCTCCACTTATACTGATTTGTTGGAGGTTGGTACATTCTGGCAACTTCACAAGGATTAGTGAGAGGAAATAAATGGTGCTAAGGATAAACACATCAGAGGAACACTCCAAGCACCATAACTGCTGTAGTAGTTATGGTGCCAGGAGTGCCAACCCAATTTAAGTTGTCAAATCACTGTACATAGTCAAGTAAGTAATGAAACAAGGGGTCTACTGTGCACTGCTTCCTGTCTCCACCACATCCCACAGGAAAACTGGAAGCTCTCTGACAGAGCTAACTCAGGGGTGTGTAGGACTTAGCTCAGGAGAGCTAATGAGCTTCTGTCTCTTTTGGTGGCTGAGAGCATACCATAGTGTTTATGGTGTTTGGAGTATTCCTGTAATTAATATATAGTGTTGGCAAAACTTGACAAGAAGACAAAAAGCAAAGGTTTTCACAAAGGAAAACTACTGCATGTATCCAAAATTATTACACAGATATTCTCCCCACCTATACTAACCCTACCTAGCCATGTACTACACCATAAGCACCTGTGCCGTCTTTCCACATGGGCAGACTAGGCACTTGCATGGGAGCCCCACAAGTATAGGGTCCAGACAGCATTGCCCATGTGCACAGGCTGACAGGGGAAATCCTTTGATATCCCCTGCTGGCCCACATAGAGTCAGCTCTGCTCACTTGCTTTGGGCCCTCTCGGGTTGGTGAGGAGATCAAAGATCTCCCTCACTGGCCCAAAGGCCCTTCGTTAGTGAGAGGGAGGGAGGTAGGACCTGGGAGTCAGCGCTCTCCTCCTGTGCGCATGCTGATCCGACACAGCATTCTGCTTGTTGGAGGAGAGAAAGCAGCCCGTAGTCAGAGGAGCTGCAGGCTATAGCTCTATAGTACTCACAGCAGTGCCCCTCCTCCTTCACCAAAGGTAAGAAGAAGGAGTGGGGGACATTAAACTTTTTTTAACATTTAAGTAAAAATAAGAAAAAACAAAAAACCCTTATCTCTATGCATCCCCCACACACTGCACCGATCACATACACACACACAGCACCCCTCTCACACACTGCACCCCTACTGAACCACTCTCACACACACACACTAAACCCCTCACACACACTGAACCCCTCATACACACTGAACACCCCTCCACATACATACAGCACCCCCCACTGCTATCTGTGTGTATGTATTTAGCAGTCTGCATGTATTCAGCAGTCTGTGTGTGTGTGTGTGTGTATTAAACCGTTTGTATACATTTATCAGTCTGTGTGTGTGTATTCAGCAGCTTAGTTTTATCAATAATTTACATTTTTATTCCTGTAAGTGGCTGTGTAGGCAGGGCCTCGGTGCACTGCTTTGCCTGGGGACCCATAATGCTGTTTAGTGGCACTTATTAGCACTGGCATTCCTGGGAGACAACCAGCAGCCAACTCACCCCACTTCCCAAGTGCAGGACAATCTTCCCTCATGGATTCTCTCTACGCTAACCCCACTACTCCACCTTGACAGCATTCTACCCATAGCTCCTGTTTTTAATCATTCCAACTCTTCTCCATTTCTCCCTTCCTCGTATATCCCCCTGTCCCTCCAAAATTCACAAGTATTACCTTTTCCTGCCTGAAAATTGTAATTCTACCAAAACCAACACTTTTCACATGTATTTCTATGTGTTTTACAGAGAGGTGGTGGTTAACCTCAATACTAGCAGGTTAACTGTAATTGTTACGAACATTTACTGTAAAATGGAATATTGCTCTAACAAAAAAAAAAAAAATACAAAAACCTCCTTTACATAAAAATTTATTACGTTAAAGGTAAAAAAAACAAAACCAAGAGCGTAAAGAATCTTAAAAGTTATTACCATAAGGCAAAACACTATAAAATGATAGATCCTCTTAATGTTAGTGTTCTTTTTTCCTTAAGTGCTTATTTTCCACCAGAAACTGATATATATTGTGAGAGGAAGGTCTCCATCTTCAATGAGTTGAATCATCTAACACTTACAATTTTATTTTCTATATGTGGCAATGTTTTGTTTTAGGCTACATATATCTGGTAATTAAAAAAAATGTGTTTAAGTATAAAGACTGTAAAACATGCATTATGATCATCAATAGAGCTTAGCTGTCATTAATCAAACAGCAGTTTCTTCTAAACCTCATAATTTCAAGCGTTAATGTATGTAAAAATGCATAATTTCTCTTCTAATGACATTGTCAGAGATGTGGAGAAAAGAGAGAACAGTACTGTCCCCGTTCAATATCAGAAATGGTCTCAGAAATTAGTGGATTAAAAGGATCTTTTATTAATTGAATTCTCAACACACGCACTGATAACAGTAAAATCAGTGGTCATCGCTGCCCCAGTGATGGATAACTGAGGCAGAAACAAATGACTCAAACTAGTAAGTACTAAGTGAGGACTATATACAGACGGGAAGTGAAAAGGACAGAGAGTATATACAAAAAGAAAAGACTGGAGCACAGGTTACTGCGAACAGTGTAGTAGATAGCTCCCTAAGCAAGATTGCTATATGCACTATGTTATGAGTATAGACCTGAAAGTGACAGAGTAACTTATTGTCGGTTACTAGTGTTAAACATGATCTACACGCATTGATGCAATATGTGCAGCACACCTTGGAGTTTCAGAGGAGTGTCTGATGGTTAAATAGAGTGGCTAGTTTTTACACTGTATCTCTGCCGTCTCGTTCTATCTACGGTACTTGCACAAGACACCGAAAACCGGTGTAGTGAATGGGACCCAAGGCAAGGTTCACTTTGTAATCTGTATAGACCAGAGAGACACAGGGTAAATTATTGTCAGTTACCGGTGTTAGTCATGATCTAAGCGCCATGGTCCAATAAGTGCAACACACCATAGAATACAAAAGGGGTGGCTAAAATAGCTGATTAATGCAATAAATTAGTGCCGTGTCGTAATGTCAGCGACCCACCCGGACATTAAAAGTAACGAGTAGGGGTTTAATACGGCAGTCCGATACGTGCAGTCCACCAAAGTAATGCCCCAAAGAGAGGGGGGCTATTGTGGTCTGCTATTTAGTACCGGAGAGGTATATAAGAAAACAGATAGGTGCCCCATACAAACAAACAAATACATGTGAACAGACTAGTCAAAGCCTAGCAGAATCTCCCGGTTGGATGTGGGATGTCTGGATAGCACAATTACTACAATACAAAGGTAGTGTCCTTTGGTTAACAGGTATAAAGATAGTAAATGTAGACCCTAAGCTGTGCCTTCGAGGGCACCTATGTCTAGGAGCTCTAGACACTGATCCGATTAGGTGTGATCTGACGATATTTGGTGTGCTACCTTACCCTTAGCCGCCTCCGGTACACCTAGGATTCTTGGACCTATTAGACTGCAGCTGGATCATCAGACTACAGTCCATTAAAGATTTAGACTCTCTACAGACCTAGCCTAGCCTAGTACTATTAGCACTACCGACAGGTGCCCTTGAAGGCACAGATTAGGGCACTTTCTGCTCCGTTTATAGATAGTTATGAGATAGTTATTTTAGACCCTCTTATTAGACATAGGTGCCCTCGAAGGCACAGCTTAGGGTCTACATTTACTATCTTTATACCTGTTAACCAAAGGACACTACCTTTGTATTGTAGTAATTGTGCTATCCAGACATCCCACATCCAACCGGGAGATTCTGCTAGGCTTTGACTAGTCTGTTCACATGTATTTGTTTGTTTGTATGGGGCACCTATCTGTTTTCTTATAAACCTCTCCGGTACTAAATAGCAGACCACAATAGCCCCCCTCTCTTTGGGGCATTACTTTGGTGGACTGCACGTATCGGACTGCCGTATTAAACCCCTACTCGTTACTTTTAATGTCCGGGTGGGTCGCTGACATTACGACACGGTACTAATTTATTGCACTAATCAGCTATTTTAGCCACCCCTTTTGTATTCTATGGTGTGTTGCACTTATTGGACCATGGCGCTTAGATCATGACTAACACTGGTAACTGACAATAATTTACCCTGTGTCTCTCTGGTCTATACAGATTACAAAGTGAACCTTGCCTTGGGTCCCATTCACTACACCGGTTTTCGGTGTCTTGTGCAAGTACCGTAGATAGAACGAGACGGCAGAGATACAGTGTAAAAACTAGCCACTCTATTTAACCATCAGACACTCCTCTGAAACTCCAAGGTGTGCTGCACATATTGCATCAATGCGTGTAGATCATGTTTAACACTAGTAACCGACAATAAGTTACTCTGTCACTTTCAGGTCTATACTCATTACATAGTGCATATAGCAATCTTGCTTAGGGAGCTATCTACTACACTGTTCGCAGTAACCTGTGCTCCAGTCTTTTCTTTTTGTATATACTCTCTGTCCTTTTCACTTCCCGTCTATATATAGTCCTCACTTAGTACTTACTAGTTTGAGTCATTTGTTTCTGCCTCAGTTATCCATCACTGGGGCAGCGATGACCACTGATTTTACTGTTATCAGTGCGTGTGTTGAGAATTCAATTAATAAAAGATCCTTTTAATCCACTAATTTCTGAGACCATTTCTGATATTGAACGGGGACAGTACTGTTCTCTCTTTTCTCGGTATTTATCCATATAGGGTTATCCCCTTAACTGTCCCTTTGATTCATTTATTTATTCATTACCTATATAAGGCCCACCACTCTTATTATCTTGTCAGAGATGTGTGCTCCCCTGTGTATCTATTACATGATGCTGTCTTTGCCCTCAACCTCACGGATGAAGGAGAAACCCAACTTTGCCAGTCTAAATGTGCTACTGGCAAACTTATGATGCTCTGCATAGCTCGTTAATATTCAACAATTCATTCCACAAAGGGATAAGGAACCACCGCAGGTATAACAATGTTCTACTTTGATATATTCATCTGAATAAGTAAATTATGGAGATTCAATGAGCATTTGAGCTTATAACTGTAAAAGAAATGAGTTTATTTTCCTCATATATAATGTATATGTAAACGTGCAGGACCTATGCACCTCAAGTTTTCTGTGGGCAATTCTACTTTTGATAGATTAACTTCTTCATTTCCCTAAAGAAAGCAGTTTCTTAATTGTTTACCAGAGAACTGGATCAGACATTTAAAGGGATCCTACTGATCAACGAGATATCTTTTTTACTTTCATACCATGAGATGAAATCAGTTACCGCCTTTGCACAGGTGAGCAAAAAATATACTTTTATTGTCAACCTTTTTTGCCAGAAACAAGTAACAATACCAGGTATAGTTTTATTTTGGCATAAAAAGGGCATCTGTGTCAATCTAATTAAAACTAGATCTACTGCAGAGGCAATTGGTACAGAGCAGACTGGCTAATATCAAGATTAGTTGTGGATTCATCTCTTTAAATATAGAAGCCTGTAATGAGCCAGCTGCTCTAATTAACTTCACAATTAATACAACACGCCAGCTCCCAGCAGAGAACTGCTAATCCGTTTCTCAGCTATTAAGGGTTAGCTTTTAACTGTTGCATCTGGTGACATAGATACATAGTTTTGGCATAAACAATGAGTGTCAAGTGTGAGCCTGATACATCGCATTATGTGGATCATATGAAAGTTAGGCATGTTTATCCATGACATGATATACCAATTGTGTGCTTGACGTAGTTGTGGTGGTGAAACATAATAATATAACGTACTATTTTAACGCTGCATCACTAAGACAATTCATAAATGGGGTGACTTAGTCCCCCAGATAAACGTAATAATAAAAACCCTCCAAATATGACTTAGCACAATATCTAAGCAATTGCAAAAATACTAATTAGTTTCTTCAGGTAACGTGATTTTTAACCAGACAAAGGCAGAACTTAATAAGGAATATTTATTATAAGCAAAAAATAGTCAAAGTGCATACAAAAAAATTAGATGTTAAATTATTTACACCAACAACAGATAAAAACAAAAGAGATAAAATAACAGAAAGTCCTAATCACTTACTCAGGGGGGTCTATGGCAGGAAAGATGGTGACTCACTTAGAATTAGATTCTGCCCTTCACTTAAGTACCATGCACCCTTCAGGATCATTAGAGATATACCCTGTGGATTACCATGTCTTACCCAGAGGTGGAGTTAAGGTGTATCGATACTAAGTGACTACCCCCTTGTGTCCAGACCCACATCAATCTAAATGGAAACAATCTTCTCTTATGTACCTGCCACATAAATAATAATTGCATCTACTATTTTGTTATTATTTCCCATTCCATAGACATGTCATACTTCTTACTTGCGACCCAATATGGCGGACATCACAATTCCTTCCCCAATGGTTAAGTTATGCCACTCAAGTTTAGGCTTGTTTAGAAGATGGCACTTGTCACATTCCAAAAATAATAAAAATGAGGCTTAATTATTATCCTGTGGGTAAAAATAATGTTTTTTTTTCCTTTGGATATGATACTGGAACAAGGCTAATGGCCATTAACATATCAAAGATATTGACTCATCAATTAAGAAAAGCCAGTGTGGGCTGCTGCATCGGTCCAGATTATGGGAAAATGTTTTGAGATGTGGTGTATAAAAATAGCTTTATCATTCCAGTGGGACAGAAACCTGAGCCACGTGTTCAGATCAGCTATGGCATGTACGTCCAATGTTATGGTACTGTTATCAGGGGGAAGTTCAATGTACCAAATAAGTACTGAAGCTCAGACCTGGTACACTTGTTCTTGGCTAGAAACGATTCCAAGCTTGTTGTGTAACTGTATCCAGTTGAATCCCCAGGAAAACTAAATTGGTGGAAGGCCCTACAATTTTCTCCTGCGAGATCAGAACCATTATAGATGAGAAAAGTGCCATTTTTTGCGTGTTATGTGGGACTTTGATTCTGAGAAAGTCGTCTAAGTAGTAGATAACTGATGGGCATTCGCATATATTGAGTAGGAGCCAAGCTAGTGTGTCTGCAAACAAGTAAAAAAGATTGCCTGTGCCGCCTTATGGACACGCCGGCCCTGAGTGCACAGAACCTTTAACTGGAAACAGTAGGTCAGGTATCCACCCCACCTTGGGGGATCACCAGCTTGTGGTGAGCAGATAGTATATGTGAAATCAGAAATAAAATATATAGTGCTCACTGGTGTAATTAAATGTTCCCCACTTTTGGGGACACCAGGGAACTATCTCCTACAAGGGAAGCACAAGTTCATTGTTAGACCCGCTCGCTTTACGCTTAGGGCACTAGGACCCTGCAGAAAGCAATTAGACAGTTCTCCCTGCGTGTGGATTGGCCTGTGGGTTTAAGAGAAAGCCTGGTGTACATCTACATCTGGTTGGCCAATCAATTCTTTTCCTGACGGGTCCGCCCCCCTTTGCCCTTTCTACATGCGATTTCTGAAGTCCCTCTTGCAGAAACGAGGACGTTTGCTCTCCCTGACACTAAACTCCTTTATGACAAAGTTTACACAAGGCACCTTATATCATGACAGATGTCATCAGCTGTCATGACGTTGTTATTATTTGTATGCCGAATAGCAAATTAATAGCAATTCTGCATTTTTTACCATGTTATTAAGAGCATAATGAGTTACAGAAAAACACAAAATGAACCAACCATTGTTAATTCTTTATAACAAATACACAGGGAAATCTACAAACTGTAGAATTAATGCAGCTGCAGCTGCCTGCAATTGCATACATTATTTGTAATACATAAAAGCAAATCTAAATATATTTTTAGCTAGTGTACTTATTTTACAAGAATACAAATAGATTAGTTGATGATTTGGAAGTATGTAACCATGTGTATACATATATTAACATCTTAGAATATCCTATTTAACTCATTAATCATAATTGATTTTAAGTATTTATATATGCGTACTGCATCCACGTCTCAGCTACTGACGTCAAGTCAAGAGAGGGACCATTTCTCAGGAGTATATACAAAAACATAAATAATAGCATTTTAATAAAGAACCTTGAAGAACAGAACATGCAGGATCAAATTATTAACCGGGCGCCGTGTCAGATATAAAGTAGAATGTATTTCATCTTGTCATTTCAAATTCTCTACTTAACCATGCTCTCATCTACCCACTCTGTCACTCATTATGGCCTCGATTTAACCCCTTAGGGACGGAGGCAATTGTACAAGATCTGCACAAAACCAAATAAAACCTAGAATTTGAGCTGTATGTTGTTCAACCATAATTTACCTATTTTATATTAAGTGCACTCACACTTATTATATATAATTTTGTTTAGGAGAAATAAGGCTTTCATTTCACATAAAATATTTATATGTGAAAAATTGTTCAATATGTATAAGATCTAAAAGAGTAGCTATTTTCAAACTTCTGCACAGCATTTTAACTGTGAATGTCATAATATTCTTTTAATTCACATATTTGTATGATGTAATGTCCCACAAGGACAATGATGTCCCCCATGTACACGTTCCATGGGGTTTTGGAAGGTTACAGGGTCAAATAAAGAGCTTGCCTATTTACGTTTTTACACATTGAACTTTGCCAAATAGGTTTGCTGGAGCTATGTTGCCTTTGAAACCGTATGGCAGCCCAGGAATAAATATAAACCCCATCAAGGCATAACATTTGCAAAAGTAGACAACACAGGGTATTCAAAATGTGGTATGTACAGTGTTTTTAATAGCCATTTAGTCGCACACCTGGCCAAAGTCAGTGTTCATATTGGTTTGTTTTTTTGCAATTCACACAAAAAAAAAACAAAAAAAACTGACGTTTGAACGATGATATCATTGTCATTATATATTTTACAGCTCTAAAACACTCCTATTTGTGTTCAGTGATTTCTCACAAATACAACAGTTCCCCCATGTACAGGTTTTATGGAGTTTTGGAAAGTTACACAGGAAAATAAATGTTTGAAAATTAAATTATCTGGACTTGATACATACCAAGGGCCTCCCTTGCAACGAGGGACCGCCCCCACTTTGGCAACAATGATAATGCAGATAATATAAAATGTATGCATTATCATTGTCAATTTCATAAAATATGAACAGCAGTGAGTAGTTGAGAGTACTAGGGGTGTCTTAGCCAAGCACTTTCAACCAACCGATGTCTAGTTTGCACAAAATTGACACAGATAATATTGTAAAGCACTGCTGAATTAGTTGGCGCTATATAAATACCAATAATAATAATAATAATAATAGTAGTATTTATTTGTAGTGTCCCTCCTGTCCAGCATCGTCATTATGCCATTGAAGCCACCGTTTCTGCATCATGTTTGGGGACATGTCCCCAAACAGTGGAACTTAAAGAAGAGGGCAGGTGGAGTGCGGATAGACTGGAACTGGGTATTAAAATACTGCAGCACCCACATGGAAAAAAAGATGTAAGCACTGGTTTAGAGGTTAGGTAAGTCTATGTTTTAACATTTTCTGTTAAATAAATACAGTACATGAATTATGTATACATCTTTCATACCTGCAGTAAAATTGTTTTTAGGTATGGCTGCTCGCCTTCAGAGATATGGTGGTGTCTTTAGTGCATCAGACCAGGGCTGGCACTTCCCAAGGGGCGCCGCCAGGAGCGCCGACCCCCCTCATGCTGCAGCCGCCCGAGCGCTCTGTAGAGAGCCTCAGGCGGCTGCAGCTTTGCCTGGGCTCGTGTGTCCATGAGGGCGCACCGCCCGGGCGCAGCATGAGGAGAGGGGCTGACAGGAGGGCAGCGCTCAGCGCTCCCTCCTGTCACTCCCTCACTGTAGCGTGGCCGAGCCCTGTATGGTCCGCGGGTACAGGGAGCATCTGTCTCCTGTACCCGGCCGGACTAACACGGAGTGTGCACTTCCTTTTAGTCCGGCCGGGTACAGGAAACAAAAGCTCCCTGTACCCGCGGACCATACAGGGCTCGGCCACGCTACAACAGAGGTAGGGGAGGGAGAAATAAATTGACAGGGAGGGGTGGAATAAATTGACAAGGGGGAGAGAAAGAAATTGACAGGGAGGGGGGAGAAAAAAATTGACAGGGAGGGGGGGAATGCATCCCTTACACACACAGAAACACACAATGCACCCCTTACACACACTCAATACAGACGCACACACTGCATCCCGTACATACACAGAAACACACCTTGCAGCCCTTACACATACAAACACAGATTCACACAATGCATTCCTTACACACATATCAGGACATCCCCTACACACTCCACCCCCTGTGAACAAACTCATTGGTGGAACATGAAGGTGGACCCTGGGACCCAGACCTTGAGCTGTGTAAAGAGCCCCCCCAAAAAATGGAGCTGCTTCCCGTTCTCCCAGAACATTGATTTTTGTGACCACAGTTACAAACCGCCTCCAGAGAGCCTGTTCTACACCAGACCAGTGGAGCCAGACTGCAGCTAAAGCCCATCATCATCCTCATCTAGTTGTAAGTAGGCAATCTAGTATATTATTCGTGGCACTAAGCTCTAATTTACCTCACATTAAAGAAACACTATAGTCCCCAGAACCACTGCAGCTTAATGTAGCGGCTCTGGTGTCTATAGCCTGTCCCTGCAGGCCTTTTAATGTAAACACGGCGGCACTGCAGCACTGGCGTTAGTTAACATGGCAGATCATATGGGTGGGGCATTGTGATGTCACATGGGGGGGCGGTAAACTTTACATTTGCTTAGGGCGGCAAAAATCCTTGCACCAGCCCTGCATCAGACCATACTGAACAGCCATCACTTATGTTCACAGTGGACATCTGTTTGTAGCTCAGCCTTGGAGACCACATACAGGGTTATTGGCTAAAGTAAGAATTTAAGGTAAATTTCAAATGTAAAGATAAAATAGACAGAGTGGAAAAAGATTTCTCACTCAGCTACACTTTTAATTCAGTTATTTTTTCCTTAAATTTGAAGTTAACTTTGAATTCTCACTCTAGTAAATAACCATGTAATTCTTCCAGCTTAGTACATATCTACTGCCAAAACACATTATCTCTACAGTTTAAACTGTATGTTATTTTCTAACTGGTTCTGCAGTATGCTGTATATTTTACTTACAAAGTATTATTTTCCTGTTGTGTGTGCTACAAATTTATTATCTGATTTTTAGCTTGCATTGTGACTAACACAAAAAACAATGGTTTTCATAATGTGTTTCATAGAAAATATGTTGTAACCTATTTAAACTCTTCCTTTTACACAACAATAAAATAAAGGTGGAAAGAATGCGCTTGCTACTTAACAACGGTTATCTAGTGTTTAATAGGTACTGCTAACTATTTGCCTTGTGCAAAGACCAGAGCAGTCTTTAATATTGATTTAACCCTGGGCAAGCGTTTGTTTGGGTCCCCTAGACCCCTCCCGCCCCCATAACGCAAGAGTGGTGAAAAGATAGATCCCCATCTGTCGTACAACACCCATGATGCTATGCAAGTTGGGGATATACCATTTGGCAATCCTTGCAGGGTTGGGTTTGTTAGCAGTGTTTGTGCGTTTGAATGTCAGCCTGTTTTTGTATAGAGTAGGTGTGTGCATGTAGAGGTATATTTGTAGGTTACCATTGAAATGCAGTGGAGTACTTGTATGTAGTGTTGACTTTTAAATGCTAGTGTATATGCGTGAGTAGACTTGGTGTTTGCATATAATGTTAGCGTTTTAATTAGGGATGTGCATGGGCAAAAAAATTTGGTTCGGTTCGGCACTTCGGAATTCGGAACTTCAGCAGTTTGGGACTTCGGCAATTCAGTTCGGTACTTCCAAAATTCGGCACTTTGGGAATTCCCTAACCCTACCCCTACCCTTACTCCTAACCTAACTAGGGTTAGGGGTAGGGTTAGGTTAGGGTTAGAGGTAGGGTTAGATTCCTGTCATAATTACCTTCATTTTCCCTCCATCTCCTGTTTTGCCACTTTTCAGAAATCCATGCACTTTGGCACTTCGGCAACTGGGTTCGGTTCGGGACTTCCGAAATTCGGCACTTCGGGAATTCCCTAACCCTACTAGGGCAAAGGGTAGGGTTAGAGTTGGGGATGGGGGCTAGGCGGGGGGTAGGGTTAAGAGTAGGGTTAGGGCTAGATTCCAGTCATCATTCCCTTAATTTTCCTTCCCTCTCCTGTTTTGCCACTTTTCAGAAATCCAGAGCACTTCGGCAGTTTGTCACTTCGGCAATTCGGTTCGGCACTTCTGAAATTCAGCAATTCGGAAGCATCCCAATGTCCAAATTGCCAGAACAAATTGCACATGTCTAGTTTTAATACAAGGGTGGTGTTTGTATATAATATTTTCATTCAGGGTGTGTTTGGATGTAGTGTGTTTTAAATGTGGATGTACATTTGTGTATTATATTGGTGTTTGAGTGAAGGGGTGTGTATGTATGTGTGTATATATATATATAATTTTGGAGTTTGAAATCACGGATGTGTTTGCAAGTTTTTAGTTGCTGGGATGTATGCACATATATACTAACACAGATATACATACACATTAACACATATATAAACACAGTGACACATACACACACCTTGACACACAGATACACACACACACACACACACTGACATAAATAGACACATACATGTGATATTTTTATGTTTGCAGCAGGGCAGAAGTAGAGAAAGGGTGGAGGTGCAGAGCAGAAGAAGAGTGAGGGGATCTTAGGGCCGAAATGAGTGGGGGGGGAAGGACAGGGCAGAAACAGAGTGGGGGACAACTCAGCGTTTCCCCCTCCCTGCATGGAGGCATTGAACGTTCCTCATAGAGATGCATTGATTCAATGCATCTCTATGAGGAAACCCTGTTTGGTGCAGAGCATCATCTTGCCGTGCATGTGCAATAGCCTGGATTGGCTGAGATAATTAATACTGATGCTCTCAGCCAAGGAGGTGGAGCATGGGTACGGCCAGCTGTGGGGAGACTGACTCAACGTGTGAAAAAGGGGGGTAAACAGGTGGCAAATGTGTTATCATACCTGTAGTGTCAGAAATACACACTATAGTGTTCCTTTAAGTAATTAGGCATGTAGAATCCTGCAGAATATATATTATACATACTGAAGGTCATACTTTTCATGTGTTTTCATAAATATGACAAAATTATAGGTGTACCTGAAAACATGGAGCAGGTAATAACCCTACCTTTAACCTCAAAAAAATGTCCATGAGATGTTATGTTGCCTCCATGTTAGGCGTTACAAGTCAACAATACTGACTTGTCATACTCTTATATGAATGAAGAGTTAGCTATGGCCATGGTTTGAGAAACACATGTGGGTATTTGCACCCGTTGATAATCTATAGTTTGATGTTTTTTGTATACTTTATTTTACTGAGGCTTTTGAGTATTATACAACATAAAATCGCATTAGGAGCTGTTGGCACATGAACAATTAATGCAATCAAGTAGGCTCCAAGGAAAAATTGCCTCTTTTTTTTGTTCATCTCAAGTAGTTAATAACAATGCCTGTTTGGTACATGAATCTGTGAGAACTTAGGAGAAACAGAAGCTCTAATATGGGATGAGATTGAGTAATAATTAAAAATAATAAAAATAGTTGAGAAGCACAGTGCATGTGTAATACATTAAAATATGGAAATATAGGATGGTCGGGTGTGCTTAGATTGACTGTGCATATACCTTTTATCAATTCTTTACGTTTGTGTACTCAGAAAGTATTTTATAAAGCAGCTCAACATATCACAACAGGAGGTGTTTGCTTTACGGTAAATATATCGTAGCTTTTCAGCACGGGTGTCAGTGCACATTTTTCTAATAAGTGGGGTGATCGTGTAGGTGTGTGTAGTCGGCTGCGTCAACCCCGGAGTGATAGCATTTCACTGAGGTGACCTGGGTTGTTTTTGTGCAGGTACTTGGCTGGTGTCAAAATAAAATTTAAACTTATTAACTACAAAGAAATTAAAACCATTACTGCATAAACCTGTAGGGGAGAGAGGATTAGCCGGGCTTGACGGGTGCTACCTCTGGGTGGGACGTCAAGAGAGGGTTTTATGAGCCATTGCTAGGCTAAGCTGTTGTGCTGCAGTTGTATGTGCCTGGATTACCCTGAGGCGCAGAGGGGGAGGGGGGTATTGGTCAGCTGGCTGTCGGGTAGGTCTGTGCCATGTCAGTGGCTTGGTCTGATGTGTAAAACATAAAAAAAACAAAAAGTAAAGTCTCAACATTCTAGCAGAATTTGTAAAATTAGCTGTATATGGTGGGAGAGTGTCCTGTTAAATATGCTGTGGAGTTCAGCTCTGGTTCAGGTGGTGGCTGCTGCATAGGTTTCTGCGGGAGGCCGTCGCGGAACGAACTCTGGAGTGCTGGCTGTGTCCCTTCTGACGTGGCGTGTGGGCCCTGCTGGTGGCACTGGTGGATTGATGGAGTTCAGGGGGAGGTCCAGTAGGCCCAGAGCCCCCGTGGCCTTCTGCATGTCATGTATAAGACAATAAGCAGTATTGTATGTTTGTGTATCCTCAGTAAACCAATGAAAGTATTATATTTACTATCCTAGCTGTTTTTTTTCCCTATTTACTCAGTTTAGTTTATTTATGCTCTTCCCATGACAGTATCTGCAATTCTTCTCACTCTCTTCACGCATCTAACTTTGCAGATGATCCTTCTCTCCAAAGAATTGTTTGTGTGGTGTAGTGCAAACGTGAGATCATCTCTGACAGCAGCCTTACTAAGCCCCCTCCACTGCCAGCAGCGTCTGCAATGCATTAATAATGAAACTACATTTGAGCTGCTACCCCAAGCACTGCAGTTCTTGTGAACAATAGCTTGCCAATTCCATTTACTAGGCGAACTAAACATCAAGTTGGTCTCAATGAATAATTTACTAAAACACTATTTCCTTCATTCAATGAAGAGATGAGTTTTAATCCATTGATATACAGATGAATTCCATAGCTGTACTCAGATTATTCTATTTAACCCCTTAAGGACTGAGGCAGTTGTAATCAAAACAAAACGTAAAACAAAACCTTGAATTTGCGCTATATGTCTGTTCAACCATAATTCACCTCTTTCATATTATGTGCACCCACACTTATTATATATATCATTTTGTTCAGGAGAAACAGAGATTTCATGTTACATCAAATATTTGTATATGAAACATAATTTAATATGAAAAAAATATAATTTGTTTTTAGAAATTAAGACATTTTTATTATTTTATTATTTTTTTTGTTCTACATGGCATTTTAACCGTGATAATGTCATAATACTGTTAGCTATAACTGCAATAAAGTACACATATTTGTATTCAGCGATGTTTCACAGGTAAAACAGCACCCCCAATGTACAGGTTTTATTGTGTTTTGGAAAGTTAGAGGATCAAATATAGCACATTACATTTTTCGGTTCATACACATTGAAATTTGCCAGACTAGTTATGTTGCCTTTGAAATTGTACGGTAGCCCAGGAATGAAAATGGCATTCCATTTGCAAAAGTAGACAACCCAGGGTATGTCCAGTGTTTTTTAGTAGCCACTTAGTCACAAACACTGGCCAAAGTTAGCGGTCAATTTAGTTTTTGCATTTTTCACGTACAAACAAATATGAACGCTAACTTTGGCCAGTGTTTCTGACTAGGTGGCTACTAGAAAAGACTGGACATACCCCATTTGTAATACCTTGGGTTGTCTACTATTGCAAATGGTATGCCATCATGGGGGTAATTTTCATTCCTGGGCTACCATTTGGTCTCAAAGGCAACATAACTAGTCTGGCAAATTTCAACGTGTATAAACTGAAAAATGTAATGTGCTATATTTGAACGCTAATTTTTGCCAGTGTTTGTGACTAAGTGGCTACTAAAAAAAACTAGACATACCCCATTTGCAATACCTTGGGTTGTCTACTTTTGCAAATAGTATGCCATTATGGGGGTAATTCTCATTACTGGGCTACTATACGGTCTCAAAGGCAACATAATTAAATCGGGCAAATTTCAATGTTAAAAAAAGGAAATTCAAGCCTTACATTTGACTCAGTAACTTTTGAAAACACCATAAAACCTGTACATTGGGGTACTGTTATACTCAGGAGACTTTGCTGAACACAAATATTAGTGTTTCAAAACAGTAAAACGTATCACATCTTTGATATTGTCCGTGAAAGTACAGTTTGGATGTGAAAAATGCAAAACACTGCATTTCACTAACAATATCATCGTTGTGATATGTTTTGCTGTTTTTAAACACTAATATTTGTGTTCAGCGAAGTCTTCCGAGTAAAACAGTACCCCCCATGTACAGGTTTTATGGTGTCCTGGGAAGTTACAAGGTTAACTATAGGGCTTGCGATCCAAATTCTCTGGACTTTCTGCCTGGGCTGTTGGGCAGGTCCCTCAGATTGTAATTAAAAAATGACTTAACTATGTAAAAATATTATATAAATATATTAGTAGAATTTAAATATATACACACACACACACACGTGATATATATATGTATATATATACATACATACATACATACACACACACACACACAATTTTTAAAGAACATCATTCTAAATTTATTTTGAATTTAATATACAAGAACAAATTAAAACTGGTATATCATTTTTTTTATTTTTTTCTTCAAATTTATTGAATATATATATATATATATTTAACGTCATTCTAAGTGTATTTTAATATTAATATATATATTACACATATATATTATATACCCCTCTGTTCCTGTACGTCCAGTGGTCTGATCTCAATTATGTGTCTGTTAGTCCAGTGTTTCCCAACCCAGTACTCAAGGCACACCTACCAGTCCAGGATTTAGGGATTACATAGTAGTGGCTAAGGAGTTTTTAGAAAAAACACCTTAGACACAACTGGGTCACCCCTAAATCCTGGACTGGTAGGTGTGTCTTGAGGACTGGGTTTGGAAACACTGTGTTAGTCCACCCATTGTACAGCGCTATGGAATTTGTTGGCGCTATATAAATAAAATAAGTAAGTCCTCTGGACGGCGGGGACGTTCTATGCCGCCCTCCGGCGTTTAGAGCCACCACTTTAAACTGCTCTTTCATGTTGTTTCTATTACAGCAAACAAACTAATCAACCAGGGCTGGTATAAAGGTTTCTGGTGCCCTATGAGAATTAGGTGCCTGGTGCCCCCTGCCCACCTGCATAATATAACATGATCTCCATTTGGGCTTCTTAGATCCATCTTTAACCCCTTAAGGACCAAACTTCTGGAATAAAAGAGAATGACATGTCACACATGTCATGTGTCCTTAAGGGGTTAAATGGACTCCACTTCTCAAATAGAAAAATAGTAAAAAACTAATTTTACATCACCATTTAGTACATATACTCCTAATAAAAACCATGTATGCATTTTATTATGCTTTTTTTCTTTAAATGTTTATCTTAAAACAACTTGCAAAAACTACAGATCTCTTGCCTGCTGACTTTTAGTTATCCTGGCCCCCAGTAACTTTCCATCCACCTTAGCTAGGCCAGTCTTCAACATCAGTAAACTGCTTCTTTTTTCAAATTCAAACTTAAAAGAATAATTCTGTTTAATAAACTTTTTAATAAATGTAATACAGCTTACAAATTATGCTGAATTACATAATAGCTGAATTTCTTTCAAGTGTCTGGCAACTACCAGGCCTAGCTGTATCTAATCACTGAGTCAGAAGTCATATTTTCAAGAAAATCTCTGAGGAGTAGTCCCCTGTATTGGAAATTAAAAGCTCTCTAGATCAGCCTGTGTAAACTAAATTAAAATCTAAAAGTCTGCAACATAAGGGATTAGGAAATACACCTTTCATTAGTCTATCCTCCCTTGTCCACCTATCTGCAACAGACTAGGCAGAATAGGTATGAATCCCTGAGAGATTTGGGGTCCAGAGTTGTGGTCTGTTTGTGCAGTGGAAAATATTACTATTTTGACTCCTCCAAACATCACAGGTCATGCATTAAACTGAACAGCACTCAACATTCCACTCAAGTTTAACAATTTTAGAAAGGTATACCTTTTTTGCTCCACGGTTAATACAATGAGATGATATTCTGGGTATTAGGGAAGCATGTGCTCCCATTGTGATGTTCTACAAATTTGAAAATGGCACAAAATCCTATGACTGCATTCACTTATACAGCACAAAAGGGAAGGGATAAGTGGATAAAATTATTCTAGATCAATTTTTCCGAACCAAGTCCTCAAATACCCCCTACCAGTCCAGGATTTAGGGATTACCCTGTTTCTTTTATTTCTTCTAAAAACACCTTAGACAAAACTGGATAATCCCTAAATCCTGGACTGTTAGGGGGTACTTGAGGACTGGATTGGGAACCACTGCTCTAGATAACCAGTACAGCCATAATTGAAAGGGCATGGCTGCCGAGTCCTTGTGATTCAGGCCACTTTGTTTCTCTAGATTCTTGCCCTTAGTAATTTTCCAATTTTCCTATTTATGATTATATTTTTCCTGATAGCACAGTTTTGACAGCCTTGCCGCTTCCCAGAACATTAAATGCCTGATTTCTATAACCTTAGGGAGAAAAGTATTTGATCCCCTGCTGATTTTGAACATTTGCCCATTGACAAAAGAAATGATCAGTCTATGATTTTAAGGGTGGGTGTATTTTAACAGTGAGAGACAGAAGAACAAAAAAAAAAAAAATCCAGAAAAACGCATGTCAAAAAAGTTCTAAATTGATTTCCATGTCAATGAGTGAAATAAGTATTTGACCCCTTCAAAATTAGTACTTGGTGGCAAAACCCTTGTTGGCAGTCACAGAAGTCAGACGTTTCTTGTAGCTGGCCACCAGGTTTGCACACATCTAAGGAGTGATTTTGTACCACCACTTTTTGAAGATCCTCTCCAAGTTATTAAAGTTTTGAGGCTGACGTTTGGCAACTCAAACCTTCAGATCCCCATAGATTTTCTATGGGATTAAGGTCTGAAGACTGGCTAGGCCACTCCAGGACCTTAATGTGCTACTTGAGCCACTCCTTTGTTGCCTTTGCTGTGTGTTTTGGGTAATTGTCATGCTGGAATACCCATCCACAACCCATTTTCAATGCCCTAGCAGAGGGAAGGAGGTTCTCATCCAAGATTTGACAGTACATGGCCTAGTCCATTGTCCCTTTGATGTGGTGCAGTTGTCCTTTCCTCTTAGCAGAAAAACATCCCCAAAGCATAATGTTTCCACCTCCATGTCTGACAGTGGGTATAGTGTTCTTGGGGTCATAGGCAGCATTCCTCCTCCTTCAAACAAGGCGAGTTGAGGCCAAAGAGCTCGATTTTGGTCTCATCTGACCACAACACTTTCACCTAGTTCTCCTCTGAATCATTCAGATGTTCACTGGCAAACTTCAGACGGGCCTGTACATGTGCTTTCTTGAGCAGGGGGACCTTGTGGGTGCTGCAGGATTTCAGTCCATCATGGCGTAGCATGTTACCACTTGTTTTCTTGGGGACTATGGTCCCAGCTGCCTTGAGGTCATTAACAAGATCCTCCCGTGTAGTTCTGGGCTGATTCCTTAACGTTCTCATGATCACTGAAACTCCACAAGGTGAGATCTTGCATGGAGCACCAGACCGAGGGAGACTGACAGTTATTTTGTGTTTCTTGTAGCCCATTCCGACATATGTCTACAATATTGTCCCTGACATCCTTGGACACCTCTTTGGTCTTCTTCATGCTGGAGTTTGGAATCTGATTGATTGCTTCTGTGGACAGGTGTCTTTTATACAGGTAATAGGCTGAGATTAGGAACATTCCCTTTAAGAGAGTGCTTCTTATCTCAGCTCGTTACCTGTATAAAAGACAGCTGGGAGCCAGAAATCTTGCTGATTGATCAAATACTTATTTCACTCATTGACATGCAAATCAATTTATAACTTCTTGACATGCGTTTTTCTGGATTTTTTTGTTGTTAGTCTGTCTCTCACTGTTAAAATACACCTACCATTAAAATTATAGACTGATCATTTCTTTGTCAGTGGGCAAACTCAGAAGGGGATCAAATATTTTTCCCCTCACTGCATACATTACACAGTGCCTGCGTTATTGGATTGTACGTTCTTGGGGGTTTTTTTTCCGTCTTGCAAACAGCACATGTTAAAGGTACAGTTGATCGGACTAGAAAGAACCTCAAATTCCCATGCAAAGTAAAATCTAGACTTCTATACTGAAAGACTGGTGGCTGCTGACCTGTATAGCTATATACATAGTGTAGGCATTGTAAGAGTCCATGTGTTGGTTTGCAGTGAAAGCAACTACGTCCTACCATATATGCAAAGGGCTAATGTTTAAATATTGCCACTCTGATCCGCAGCCTCATAAAAACAAGTGTGATTTTTGGCCAGTATTTCATAAACCAATCACTCCTTTTTTAAAACAAGACAACTAAGTTGTGTATTTATTTCAGCACCGCTGACAATAAAAAACATATTTTGATGTGAAATAAACTAAAATGTTAATAGGCTGAACCTTATACTATTTACTTTGAAGCAAAGGAGCCAGCAGTACTAATGTTCCATAGAGGATACTATGCACACAAATAAAGATAAGCAGGTATAAGAAAAGAAATATTAAAGAATAAAAAGATTCTACTAACACTGGCTCTGATAAAACCCAGTACTTTGATAATTTCAAATTAGACCTTTTTTCTACCTATTTTCAAAGTCACAGCTCACTTCACCTTCGCTATGCTTTAAAATCTTCTCAAGTGGCTGCTTCTCGTATATCTGGCTAATTCGGAGAAAATTACATCCAAAAGTTTCATTTCATCCTTAGTCAATAAAATTCAGCTCTCGGGGGACAGAGAACAAATGTATCTGCTTTCCTTCTTTCGAGTTTTATTTTTTAAGGGAATTTAGAGATAACTACAAATATGAGATTTCTTCAAGTTAGATAAACAAACTTGAATACCTATAGAGTGCGGAACAGGGTATTTCATACAACAGTGCATGCCAGTAAGAGATATAGAGATATATATAAATAAATAATCAAAACTAAACAGGCATTACATTTACATGTATTAAAATCCAACTCAGAGACACATAGATTTTTGTGATTTCATTGAAAATGGATAAATCTCTAATACGACTTTCACTACTCAATGTTTAAAAAAAATATAAACATTTTTAAAGTGAGTATGTATAACCCGCAGCAGCAGAATTCTCAGTAATATAATAGGAGCATCGGTAGATATATCCCCTATATATAGATACTGCTTATTTCAGATGTTCAGTAAGGACATGCCGTGGGCTATTCCTCGTCAGTCAATTACAACATGAATGAGGTTATCTCGCTGATGCAGTGTCGCCATTTGAGATTAATAGTTCCCATAATGAAAATCAAAGAAAAATGCAATACAGTTGATGGAAGTTTCACTATTTTATAGATGGATCTTCGGGGAGTGTGTACGTAAGCAGGTTTGCTATAAAACCCCAGCAGCTGGGAAATACACCTTCTATAATTTACATTTGCTGCTTAGCTGGGGAAGTTCTAATGCACAGGAAGCACTGTTGGGAACTAAATTCCCTCATCAGATCTTGAGATTAGCTTGAGTTCCTTTACAAGCAGGGACGTCGGGCATTGATTTGCAATTCTGAAAAGTCTGCATCAAGCACGCACACCCGGGAGTGATGGCCATGTGCGTTTGATCAGGGGATTGTGAGCCAGTAGAAAAAAAATAAATAAATTAGATTTTATTTATTGAAAAGCTAATGTTGCTGTAATGAAACTCCGAGTTCTAAAATAACTGAAAAGGAAACAAAATCCTTTAAAGAGACAGTCACTCTAAGCACCATAGCCAGTGCATCTCTTTCTTATTATGGTGCCAAGAGACAATGGTCGTCACGATCTCGGGTTTGTGCTAAATAGTTTTGAATGGCTTTAAACAAAACTAACCGGGGGCTAAGACGCACACAGAGCTCTCAGCCAGTCGTTACCACCCGAGGTTAAATGGATTTGCTGATTATGGCTCCTGAGGATAACCCTATTTTCTTGTAAAATCACTCTAAACCAGCTTGACGGAGGAGTGGGGGATGGGAATCCTAGCATTAGAATTACTATAATGAACTGAATTTTTATTGAAATTTTTTTGATCATGGGTAAAGAAAACTTTGCAACCTGCCCTATATAATATAATGGTGTAGCCTAGCATCAAATTGAAGCACTGCAGTCAGCCATGGCTGTGACAGGTGCTACTGTCAGTCAGATCGAACCGCAACATTCTCACACTGCAACACCAGAACTTTTCTCGGTATGCAACAAAAACACTGAGAGTAGCAATGGGTGACTGCCAGCAAGACACAGCCTGAATGCTTCACTAGATTATTAATGTTGGCTTTCATGCATCTATACAATGGCAAGGTACAATGCCATTTTAATCTCATAATAGTGATTTATTTTTACTTTTTATTTTGCTTCAATCAAAAAGTAAATAGGAAAATAAAAAATAATAATCTCTTTAATAAGGCAAAATGTGAAATTCAAATAACTAAATCAATGTTTGAATAAGAATAGCAATTATCAAACTTTGACATGTTCACACAATGTGCATGTGATGAATCGCACAGATTTGAACAAAAATTGCATTTTATTATTCAGCAGGTGTGTAGAAAAATAATCAAGGTTTATTTGAGCCAAACAGCTAATTTCTTTACCATTGATAAACCCCTGTTTGCATTTGAAAAGGTGTTATTTTGGTTGGCACCTCTCAGCGATTATCACCTTGGAAACACAGATATTGAAGTATGTATTGTAAACGGCCACTTTCAGCTTAATACCCATACCTTATACAAGTCTGATGGCTCTTTAGCAGATGCTTTAGGCCATGGCGGAAGCCCAGGTAGACCTCTCGAATGGCTCATATTGTGCACAGAATCCACCTGTGACAAGAGAGAATTAAAAAGATTGAATGACGGTAGGTAAGTAGTGTATATTCAAGCAGTCTAAAAGAGGTATGAAAACGCCGCCATATTTATACAGTGACAACAGGCTATAGAGTTCTAAAAGAGTATTGCAAACAAAACAGGGCTGACATAAAAGTGATACACAGAAGAGGCTGGGATTGGTTTTTATCATTACCATAGTATGCAGTCTTTTTAAACAAGGAAATAGTGGAAACACAGATTTTAATGTAACTGTGGCTACCATAACTTGACAAAGGTCATATTGGCAATTGCCAGTACAAAACTCATCTAGGGACAGTCATTAAGAGTACTCATCATTGATGTATAAAATATAGGCATTAGAGTATGGATTTTAAAGAGTTGCTAAACTATGGCTCACAAGTCACCTTACCAATCCACTCATTGTGTACCTTCTCTCACCTCTCACTGAATTTGCTCACTGTGTTCCCTCTTCTACCCCAGTGAATCTGCTCACAGTTTTGGAATTTAATTTATATATTTACAACATTTTTCTTTTAGCATATTCTATAGATTTCTTCTTTTCTAAACATTCAACAATTTCCTATTATACTTTGTAGAATTGCAGTTAAACATATAACAAGTTCTACAGTTACTCTCGAAATACAATACCAAGTTCTACATTCAAACTTACGATTGTTTTAATAACCATATTTAATATTATTCCAAACTTTGGCAAGTTCTTGTATCTAGGTGACCAAGCAGCAGGAAAAGCTACAGGGAATGGTGGCATTCTGTGTATTGCCTTGAAGCATTACAACCCCCGAAGTTCCTGTACCACTTGTGCAAAGGGAACCTCCATTTTGGATCTGGATTGCACTTATTGGCATTATCAGCCTGATATGCAAATAGTATAGGTTCTCGCTAATGGCGCAAGTGAGCTAAATCTTTTGACACTTGAGCACAGACTAATTAAGAGGCAAGCTATTAAGGTTTCTCTGATCTTTTTCTTATTCTCAGACTACTTTAATTCTCTGTTTTTGATGCTTGGGGCTATTGGTGATAAAATGATAGATCACAAGCACTCTAACGCATATGTTTACATGCATGTATCTGCTTTCTAAATCACACAATGCCCCCAAATATTAGATTTTTAAAATACTGAGACCATGAAGAAGAAATTATAAATAGAAGGAAGATTCATTACTGGGAGACTTTGGCAAACCCTATAAAAAGTCAGCTTCTGTCTAGCAAGACCATGACGTCTAAGCGAGGTGGTGTATCGTGACAGGAGGGTCTCATTCAGAAAAAGAATGCTAATATTTGGGAAGAGGAAATCAATACTGTCTCATTACAACCTTGTGGGATGTCAAAACAACCTTTGGTGTCTTAGCATCAATAGCCTGGTTTAATGTAAAAACAAGGTTTTTATGGCAAACATAAAAATTAAAAATGATAAATGTGAAATCTGAGTAACATGCGTTCTAAAGGAAAACTATTTTTTTTATATTAGTTAAAAATAAAAGACTACTTAAACTATTAAAACATCTGTGTATATTAATTTTATTGTGTATATTTTCATTAACACTGCTTTTAAATTGACCTCCTAGCTTACCTTTTACTCAGTGAAGACAGTAATCTAAGGGACATTCTTCATCTGAATGAAGTGGTTTTGCTGCCTGAATGCTGTCCCTCTTTTCTGCCAATGTAACACACTGCCATTTTAAAGAAAAGCAATATTTATATTTGGCCCTATACTGACTCTTTTGTCAGAAAACCATTAGAGGTACTTCTTCATGCTTAAACTCCTTTACTGTGTTAACCTCCACCACTTCAGCTGGAAGGCTATTCCATGCATCCACTATCCTCTCAGTAATGGATGTAGTGTTTGTGTGTATTAGATACTGTTTGTGCAGTGAATGCAGCGTGTGTTTGTGTAGCAGATGCAGTGTGTATAGTGAACACAGAGTGTGTTTCATCTAGTACACACAAACACTGTTTGAGTAGTGGATGTAGTGTTTGTGTGTACTAGATGAAATGTGTTTAGTGGATGCAGTGTCTTTAGTGGATGTAGTGTGTGTATTAGACGCAGTGTCTGTAGTGTCTATAGTGAATGCAGAGTGTTTCAATTTGAGTACTGTGAATACAGGATGTTAGTATAGTGAATTCAGAGTGTGTGTTAGTGTGTAATGAATGCAGAGTGTGTGTTAGTGTTTAGTGAATGCAGAGTGTGTGTAAATGTGTAGTAAATGCAGAGAGTGTGTTAGTGTAGTGAATGCAGAGAGTGTGTTAGTGTAGTGAATGCAGAGTGTGTGTAAGTGTAGTGGATTCAGTGAATGTGTTAGTGTAGTGAATGCAGAGTGTGTGTCAGGGTAGTGTATGCAGTGTGTGTTTCAGGGTAGTGTATGCAGTGTGTGTCAGGGTAGTATATGCAGTGTGTGTGTTGTGTTCGTGTATGCAGTGTGTGTTGTATTAGTGTATGCAGTCAGGGCCAGATTAACATAGGGGCTGATGGAGCTGCAGCTCCAGGCCCAGGCCTATGGAATAGGCCCATTAAAAAAAAAAAAAAACTATTATTTTTTTTATTTTTTTTAACACGCTACTCTTAGGTTTGCCACCTGACTGGTATTTTAAGGCACAGCTGGTATTTGAGGCTGCCTGGCCATGACGGTATTGCAGTAATACCGGCAATACAAATGGAAATATTTTTCTCAGTATAAACGGAGATTACTCTGCAATACCAGCACCAGCCAGTAGAGATCACTGTGTATGGAGAGAGGCAGGGATAGGAAGTTACAGCATCTCCCTGACTCTCTCTACTCACTGATCTGCTGGGGAGCAGCTACACAGCACAGACAGTCCAGAAAGCAGCTCCCAACCTGCAGTGACAGACTACAGCTCAGGTATGTGAAGGATGGGGGGGAAGGAAGCAGGGAGACATGGGGACACTGGGGACACAGACACTAGGGGACACTGGGAGACGTAGGGGACACTGAGAAACATGGGGACACAGACAAACTAGGAACACAGTGTCCCCGTGTCATCCAGTGTCCCAAAAATGTCTGTGTCGCCATGTCTCCCAGCCAGTGTCTCAGTGTCCCCATGTCTCCCAGCCAGTGTCCCTAGTGTCAGTGTCCCCATGTCTCCCAGTGTCTGTGTCCCCATGCCTCTCAGCCAGTGTCCCTAGTGTCTCAGTGTCCCAATGTATCCCAGTGTCCCCTAGTCTCCCAGTGTCTGTGTCCCCATGTCTGTGTCCCTAGTGTCTGTGACCCCATTTCTCCCAGTGTCCCCAAATGTCTGTGTCCCCATGTGTGTATCCACAAGTGCCCCCATGTCTCCCAGTGTCGACATGTGTCTCAGTGCCCCCATGTCTTCCAGTATCCCCGGGTCTCTCAGTGTCCCCTAGTATCCTAGTGACACAGGACACACTGAGACATGGGGACACTGGGAGACTAGGCGACATGGGGATACTGAGACACTGATGCCAGGCTGGCCTTTCAATTCTTTGGACAGACATGACCCCTTTTTGGGCATGTTCGCCTCTTTTGGCAGTTCTGGTCTCATGACTCACGTCAGTGGTCCACCCTTTTACCCTGCCCATTGACGTCTTGCTTCACTGAACACTGCTGGATTTACTTGAAAGGTGAAAGTATAAATTAGATAAAGAGATTAGCATAGAGTATGAGTTTTCTTATAGCTGCATTCTTTTAGTTTCCCTCCAACATCAACTCCATCAGATACAGGACGCTTGAGAGGCATGACTGTTTTAGTGTTTTTGGTCGATAAGATTCTGTAATTAGGCCCATTCATAATTGTCAGCACCAGGCCCACAGGGCTCTTAATCTGGCCCTGTATGCAGTGTGTGTGTAAATGTGCAATCTAGGGGGGAGGGAGGGGGAGAGAAGAAGGGGCATTTTCACATTAATTTTATATCAAATTAAATATTATTCCTCCCTCCCTGCTTCTTACCTGTGTCCAGGGAGGGGGGAGATTCCATCCCTGGTGGTCCGGTGGCATGGGGGGCCCCCCGGCTCCCTGTTACCGCAGAGGGGGCCCAGCACACTGCCTCTACTCTTCTCTTCTCTTCTAATAACTCTTGCAAGAGTTATTAGAAGAGAGGAGAAGAGAAGAGTAGAGGTGGTGTGCTGGGCCCCCACTGCGGTAACAGGAAGCCGGGGGCCTGCAGCTGCACACATAGATAGTGATATTCGCTAACTATGTGTGCAGAGAGGGAAAGTGGGTCCCGGGAGTGCCAGAGCAGTCAAGGCCCCCCCAGGACCGCCGGACCTGTGACAACCATCATGGTTGTCACCCCTGATGGCGGCCCTGCCTACATATACACAGTTCCTACATATACACTGTTCCTGTCAGCCCCAACTGAACTGCTACTTTCTTACTCTGCTACCTCAACGACAGAACGGTGTTTGGTAGGAAACAAAAACACTATCGGAGAGTAGCAATGGGTGACTGCCATTAATGCGATTAGCCTCCACTAGATCATTCATGTTGGCTTCCATTCATCTCTGCAATAACAAGGTACAATGCCATTTTATTCTTATACTAAAGGGCATTTTTTAATTTTATTTTGCTTCAATCAAGAACTAAATGGGAAAAAAAGATTTACATCTTATTAATAAGGCGAAATATGAAATTCAAAAAACATCGACGCTTGAATAAGAATAACAATTATCAAATTTTGAAATGTTCATACAATGTGCATGCGATGAATTGCACCGATTGGAACAAAAATCACCTTTTATTATTCAGTGTGTTGACAAAATAATTAAGGTTGATTTGAGCCAAACAGCCAGTTTCTTTTCCATTGCTAAACCTATGTTTGCATTTAAAAAGGTGTTATTTGGACATACGGAGGGACATATAAAGCACGCTGTGTCAACGGCAGGCAGGGCAAGGGGAAGACTGTTTTTTTTCTCCCCTTCCCAAAACAAGTATCAATCGATACAAGAGAGAATGGACGAATCCCCCTAAGAGCTGTGGGTCTAAAGAAAGCTTAATTCAAGTCCAAGCAAGTGTAACAGAAGAAACGCTGTCTAATTACTTGGACAAATTCACAGACAAAATTAGAGAAGACATTGCAGCCAGTATGACAGAAATAAAACAAGAATCAAAAAACATACGTGAAAAATTAACCGCTATGGAACTTAATTTTGCTAAGATGGAGATGCAATATACTCACCTGCAGGAAATGAACACAATGATGGAAAAGAAAATAATCTCTCTTAAACCAAAATAAATGATTTGGAAGATCGCTCTAGAACACAGGTTCTCAACCCAGTCCTCAAGGACCCCCTACCAGTCCAGGATTTATGGATTACCTGGGTATGGCTAAGGTGTTTAGAGAAATTTTAAAATATTCTTATATTTCAAGACCTTTCAAATATATAACCAGAAATTGGCAAAGAGGATTTATCTCCACATTAGCCATGCTGAGACAAAATAATATTATCTATAGATGGGGATATCCCAAACTGCTAAAGGTCACATGGAATGACAGGACGGAAATTTTTGATACTCCAGAAAAACTCTTAAATTGGGCAAAAAAAAAATCTTAATATTACATGATCGTCAGAATGAAGAGGGGAGTGACAAGGAGAAAAAGAGGAGTATAAGGCTCCTTCTCATTGTTTTTTGTTCTCTGTGCTATATATTAGATAATTATTGTGACCAGGGTCATGTAAGAATCACCATAACTCAGTAATGTGTTCACTAATTCACTTTAATAAGATATTGAACTATAGGTGTTATATATGGATATAAAGGGCTAAGGTATAAACAGTACATAATCACTTAGGAGTACAGTCAACTCAGTAAATCTTCAGGTTCCTTTATAGATAATAGCCAGGTAAATAGGGAGCAAAAGATTCCTAAGCGCACAAAATTATGAGAATGGTATTACGGGGATAAAACGGATGTCTTAGATCTAAGTACTAAAATTAATACCTCACAGATTGTTAAAATGAATTGAGTGCACCACTCAACTCTTGAATTATTTTTTGTTTTTCTACACTTTTTATATCACAGTCCTGATAGAAAATAGTAGACCTATTAAAGTTAGGATAGGTGGTACAGAAGGGCTAAAGGTGAATAGTAAAGTTTTTACTGATAGGCCGTATTAAATAAATAAGTACGCAATAATCACAGAGAGAAAATATACACAGATTCATAGGAGTTATATATAAAAGTGGACCCCTGCAGTTGGAATAGTAGTCAACAGAAGAGAGGTTTTAGGTATATGGTGTAAATGATATAAACAGTACTGATCACTATGGTAATTATATTAGAAAAAGGTGGGAATAGATATGGATATGGATAAAGCTCATTTGACAATTGTATCATTCTCAGTAGTTATGTAACAATTAGAGAAGCTGGTACTGTTTATTTCCCTTTAGTTTTTTTTTTTTTTTATTGTTTTGTTTGGGGGTTTTTTTTGGGGGGGGGGTTTAAGAGAATTATTATGACTCAGGTGAATGGAAGAATGATTCTTATTTAGTAATTTGTTTAATAATCTAGATAACAAGTTATTAAATTAAGAATGGTGAATAAGGATTTATAGAATTATATAGGAGTACAGTCAACTTATTAAATTCGTGTTTTTGTTTATATAATAGAAACGAAAACAGTGTGCAATAGGTACTTACGAGTATAAATATTAGGATAATGGTATTACAGATGAGACAATGGAAATAATGGATCTTTGTTTGAAAATAAATATTTTTTCGTACAGTTATTACTGACTTATTAATATAGGAATATGAACCCATAAGAGTCACATATATTTGGATTATAGTAGGTAAGTGGCAGTTACGGGTAGAGAGGTATCAGGTATATGATAGAAATATTATTAACTGTACTGTGTAACAGGGAATGTATCTGTAAATATGGAGGTAACAGACATGGAAGAGAATGAAGAATAGCTGGGGTATATAAAAATGTCATTTGAAAACTTTTAGAAGATGATACAGATGTTTAAACAGCAATTGGATAAATACTTGCAAAAACACAACATACAGGGATATAATTTCTAATTAGTGGGGTAATAGCTGCTTGATCCAAGTAGATATCTGACTGCTATTTTGGGGTCAAGAAGGAATTTTTCCCTAGTTTGTTGCAAAATTGGAAACTCTTCAGACTAGGTGTTTTGCCTTCTTTTGGATCAACAGCAAAAACATATGTGAGGAAGGCTGAACTTGATGGCCGCAAGTTTTTTTTCAGCTTTGTAACTATGTATACTGACAATTTCTTAGAGGGAGTTTTTTTTGTTCTTTTGTCCCTCTTTTTCATACGTATATTATGAAAAGAAGGAAAATATAGAGTGCGGTAGGTAAGAAATTCCTCTTGACTTAATGTAATTACGAATAAATCCCATAAAATGACTTAGTGTCCCTGCCATACAGGAACCCTCTCTTTTCCCCACCTAGTGTCCAGTAGTGAGACACAAAAACCGAAGGTATACTCAAATTTTTATACTCCAATTTCGTAAAATGACTCCGACCAACCATAACGTTGGAGGGAGGTCATTTCAGGCCAAGTTGGTCGAGCTGATCAATTGGCTATGTTTTATGGTCAATGTATTTGTATTAAATTTTATATAAGCACATCGATTTGGTTCTTGGGGGCTGTTCGCCTGAAAATAAAATGGTTAGAATGATAACAGTGAATACTCAGGGCCTTAACTCGACAGCAAAAAGATCATTGGTCTAAAATCTTTTGAATAGGGAAAAAAAAATACACATAGGTTTCTTGCAAGAGACGCATTGGAGCACTAATAAGAATATTAAGTGGGAAGGAGTTGGAATTCCAACTCTAATTTACGCGTCTATTAAAGATTTAAAAAAAAAAAAAGCGGTGGGTAGCAATTATTTTTTCTGGAGCTTATTTATAAATATGCAGATCCAGAGGGAAGATACCTTATCATAGTATGTAAAATCAATTAAAGTAAATACACATTGGTTAACGTGTATCTGCCAAATTTGTCTCCAGTGGTCACACTGAAAAAAATTCTGGAACAAGTGGAATAAACCGGCATTTGCCTCATTGCAGGGGATTTTAATTGTGTACTAGACTCGAATAATGACAAGAAGTTAGCTAAAAATATAAGATAATTAATGAAAATCTTATAAAAATGTCTAAATCTCTTACTAGTACTATACAGAAGTTTGACTATTTTAACTGTTGGAGATCATTAATCCCTTTCCCCTTGACTGTTCCACAGGGTGGGACATTTAAATTTTCTCATTCCGATTGTATTTCCCACCTGGTGGGACATATGAGTAGCATACAAGTTTGACGATCGTACGGCTCACCCAGAGGGACATAACTTGGTGAGCGACACTGACATTTTATCTGAGTGGAAAGGGTTAAATCCTGGCATACAAGAATTTACGTATTTTTCAAGAGTCCAATGTTCACATTCAAGAATTGATATGTTTGGGGTAATGCCTTAGCGGTAAATAATCTACAAAATATCAAAATAATCGTAAATACATGGTCAGATCACAATATGGTTAAGTGTTCGATGAAAGACAAATGGTCAATTAATAACAATAATACCTGGAAGATTAATGATTCCCTATTATTTAATTCTAAATATCTAGAGGTACTTAAAAATCAAATCAACTATTTTTCAAGGAGAACAAGGCCAAGGACACTTCTCCGTCTAATAATTGGTGTGCTTTTAAATCTACTGAGAAGGAATTTGATTAATCTAAACTCACAGTATAAAAAAAAAAAACACGTTAGACTTAGTGTCATTAAATGCTGAATTAGGCAAAGCTGCATCTAAGAATAAATCTTCCCCCTCAAAGGCGAATTCAGACCATCTGAGAAATATTCAAAATCTTATAAATCAGAAAATCTTAGAAAACAATGTCAAATAAATTGATAAATTAAAGATGAAATATTACAGTAAGGGTAATAGGGCAGATAGGATACTAACTCAGAGACTAAGGGAAAAAGTAGCAGACAATAAAATTATGAAAATTAGAAACGATACTGACGAGTTTTATACTTCAAAATCGATAGGCAAATGCTTTAATTCATTTTATAGTCAGTTATATGATCTGCCGTCTAACAGTCAAAAGGACTCAAATTAAATTTCCGTACAATATCGGACAATCAAAGAAAACAGCTACAGGGCTACTAAACTGGTTCATGGATTGCGGTATAAAACTTACCAGGAAAGGTTAAAGGATCTTAACATGTATAGCTTGGAGGAAAGACGAGACAGCTGGGATATGATAGAAACATTTAAATATATAAAGGGAATCAACACAGTAAAGGAGGAGACTATATTTAAAAGAAGAAAAACTACCACAACAAGAGGACATAGTCTTAAATTAGAGGGACAAAGGTTTAAAAATAATATCAGGAAGTATTACTTTACTGAGAGGGTAGTGGATGCATGGAATAGCCTTCCAGCTGAAGTGGTAGAGGTTAACACAGTAAAGGAGTTTAAGCATGCATGGGATAGGCATAAGGCTATCCTAACTATAAGATAAGGCCAGGGACTAATGAAAGTCTTTAGAAAATTGGGCAGACTAGATGGGCCGAATGGTTCTTATCTGCTGTCACATTCTATGTTTAATGATCCAATTTCGTCCCAGGAGGTACCAGAGGGGATATTAAATTAAAAAAAAAAAAAACCTCTGGGTCGAGATGGTTTTTCAAATCTATTTTATAAAATATTTGCGGAAAATATTGTGGAACATTTGGCAGATACCTTTAATCATATTGTATTATCAAGTTGTTTTCCTTCTGAAATGCTTAGAGCAAATATTTTACTGACTGTAAAGCATGACAAAGACCCTACTAGGGTAGAAAATTACAGACCTATTTCATTGATAAACGGGGTTGTAAAGGTTTTCTCTGCGATATTGGCGAAGAGATTGAAGGAAATTCTAAGAACTATAATTGATAGAGATCAAATACGCTTTGTGCGGGTAGAATGGCCTCAAATAATATCAGAAGAATTAATGACACAGTGGACCATGTGAATAGGAAAAAAATAGGTGTATATATTACAAATGCCCACTTTCACTATAACATCCATACCTTATACAGGTCTGATGGCTCTTTGTCAGATGTTGTAGGCCATGGTGGGAGCCCAGGTAGACCTCGTGAATGACTCATATTGTGCACAGAGTTCACCTGTAAATAAAGAAAATAGAAAAGACTGAATAAGGGTAGATAAGTAATGTACACTTAAGCAGTCAAAAAGAGGGTCTCAAAATATCATCATTTTTTTCACAGTGCCAACAAGTTCTGTAGTTCTGAAAGAGTATTACAAACAAAGCATAGAACTGGCATATAACTGATACCTGGAAGAGGCTGGGTTTGGCTTCCACCATTACCATATTACTCATTGCGTAACTTTCCCTCACCTTACTGAGTATGCTAAATGCATACCTTGCTCCACTTTGTTGAATCTACTTATTGCATACATTCCCCCACTTTACTAAATGCGTTAATTGTGTGCCTTACTTCATCTTACTGAATCCGCTCATTGTGTACCTTACCTCACTTTACTGAATCCGCTCATTATATGCCTTCCATCACCTTACCGAATCAGCTAATTGTGTACCTTACCCCACCTTACTGAATCCGCTCATTGTATGCCTTCCATCACATTACTGAATCAGCTCATGGTGTTCCTTCTACCATCTTACTAAATACACTCACTGCATATTACCTTCCTTCATATTACAGAATCCACTCATTGTTGCATATCTTCCTTTATCTAACAAAGTCACATAAAGACACTATAGTCCTCAAAACAACTTTAGCTTAATTAAGCAGTTTTTGGTGTGTAGATCATGCCTCTGAAATTTCACTGCTCAATTCTCTGCCATTATGAGTTAAAATAACTTTTGGTTTTATTTATGCAACCCTAGCCACATCTCCCCTGGCTGTGATGGACACAGCCTGCATGGAAACAAAATGGTTTAATTTTCAACCAGATGTTACTTACTTTACAAGTTTTTATCTCATGCTCTGTAAATTGAACTTTAATTACATACAGAAGGTCCCTGCGATGTTTAACAAGCTATTAACAGAGCAGGAGATAAGAAATTCTAAATTAAACAGAATTTGCAATAAAGGAAGTGTAAGCATTAGATGACTCTTTACAGGAAGTATTTAGGAAGGCTGTGTGGCAGGGAGGTGTGACTGGGGCTGTATAAACAAAGTGTCTCTACTAACTATATAGCTTAATAAAGATTATGGTGTTTGTAAAGACTCAGGAAATTGGAATTACTTTTTATAAATCTCTCTCTCTCTCTTTTTTTTTAATCTAGTAGCGGAGACACTTAACACAAATTGCTGTTCAGTGCATCAATAATTCCTCTTTTAGAGAGAGGCTGCTCCAATTATAAAAGATACAGGTTTATAGACTCAGCGTTCAACAAGAAGAAAGACTAGAAAAGGCTGCAAATTCTTTTTGCATGGTTATACAAAAATACTAAGTACAGCATATGACTCCTATGTAATTTCTTATAAGGGATCACAGAAAGCTTTTTTGTAAAAACTGTAGTTATTATAACTGACGTTGAATGTATCTTCGACGAAGCGTAACGAGTATAAGTTTCTGCTATCCAGAGCAGATTAAAGAAATGTGCGTCGCCTGCGGCAACATTTTAACAATTAGTCTTAATTTAGTCAAATACAAATAGAAATTTGAACAGTGAAATACCATGGAACCTTTATACACTCACCCTAAATATATATTACTATAATAAAAAAAGGCTAAATATTTAAAATTGTGAAGCACTCCGCAATATGTTTTTTCTGCATAACTGTAATAATAATACAAATTACCAATTATAATGGCAATAAGTAAATAGTGTGTTGTACGCACTCCAAATAAAATTTTACATTTTGGTGCTGGTGTTAAAAAGTGGGATCACTGTTCACCTGGATCCACAGTAATTAGCAAACAAAAAAAAAAATAAAAGTTCTCAGTGCTCAGCAAAGAATTCAGGTGGTTTATTCAGCAACCAAAGTGAAATGGCAACGTTTCGGCAAGTATGTTTTTCCTCAAACCTTGCGAAAGCAAAACGTTGCCCTTTTACTTTGATGGTTGAACAAACCACCTGAATTTATTGCTGAGTGCTGAAGACCTATAGTTTGTTTGCTCATTCACAATGGCATACAGGATAAAAAAAAAGTATTGGTGCATAGTTATTAAAAATGACATTTCAGTGAACCAAAAACCAGATTGCAAAATGTAGTCTAAAATAGCTTAGTTTCGCTCTAGTAACAACTAGGCTACTTTAGCTTGAATTCTGCAATTTCTTTGTCAGTTCTGTATAACTTGGTACATAGTGAATAAATCCCAGAATGTACAGAAAACCACACGTAATGAGTGTGATCTTTAGCACTCCATAGAATATCTATAATTTACTTTAGAAATTATTTTGCAAAATGTTCCTTTGTAATCCATATTTGCATTTACATAAAATGCTCACTCCTATCTCAATGTGAATCACACTTCTTGCCCGAAAAACAGTAACACCAGTGAGGAACGCACTACAAGAGGGATTTTAAAATAAAAATTACCCCTTTACTCTTTTCAGTGTAGATATATCAAAGACTCCTCTTAGTCTTCATAAAACATAGAATACACATCAATATCTACAATAAAAATACACTAAAAATAGTGTAATACAGTAAGTTGTCAGCTTCAGGATAAAACTTTATATTACACTAACAAACATTCTTCTTTTTTCTCACATCCAAAACATATATATGGGGAGAGAGATAAGTGGACACAGAGTAGATCTTCATTAAAAGACTACATTTATTGGTCACACTTACAAGATATAAAAACAGAATAGGCATATCACCATATCCACTGGAACTCCACTTGCAAAGATTCTCAGGGTGTTGGAGCAGACATTAAACAGTAAAACACTTAAAAAAATAGCCCTATGTATTTCTTCCACCTACATGGACTTCCTCAGGGAAAATAATAAATAAATCAGTGTGCAGTCATCAGCCACAAAACCTACAGTATACAGCTACAGTTTTAATATCCCGGTTAAATCCTCCCTCTGGGTGCCATCAGCCAATCCCAGAGCGAGTTCAGCTTCAACTCTGCTGTTCCTCATTATGCATTCCTGTCAGGATTAAAATTGATCGAGCATGCAGAATAGTATCACACCTTGGACTAAAGGTAACATCTAATCGGACTTAACATACCAGAGAATAGTTAATATACTTGCCGAGGTAAGGGACACAGAATGAAACACAGCGATAAGGAAAGCCAATAGTCAAGGATACCAGAAGTCAGGGAAGTCAAAATGAAGCCAAAGTCAAAAACCAGAAACACACGATCAGGAGCACACTCTCGGATAACAAGGGAAACCACGACAGGGCAATGAACCGAAGGAATAAGTGAGTTTCCTCTTGTAGGTCTGATTTGACCCCAAAAGGCGCGTGTGCGTCTTTTGCGTGACGTCACCCGCACATCGATGTCTTCTTTAACATGGACGTACGTAGGGCTATATAATAGAGTGAATCTGCAGCGGCCAGCATCGACCAACATGTCGCAAATGCCAGGCATCATGGCAAAGGGCGGCTGAGTGGCACTCCTCTTAATACTAGAGGGGTAATTATCTCCGTGTTTGTGACATGGAGATGAAGGGTACATGACAGTTCCAAGCCTCAGTCTAATTTTCTTTCCAGTTTGTGTATTTCCCCTCAGTCCGTCTATCGATGATGCGTGCGTTCCAACTTCACGTCATGCGTTCCACTTGAGCCAATAGTATTTCCTGTCTCTAGGTTCCTCTTGTTTGGTAAAATAACAACAGTTCTGGCCACAAGTTCATAATCATGAAGGACAATAAAACAAGAACCAAAAAAATAGATTTGGATCAATAACAGTTGAACAAGTCCTAATAACAAAGGGGGGAACAAACTCAATGTAGTAAAAAAATAAAATAAAAAAAAAAGAAGAACGGAAATCAGAAGTTGGGGGAGGTAAATCATGATAAAGGTCTCAGAGCTCCTGGATCAAGAACCCAATGGATATAAATAAATTAATAGAAAAAGTTATAAGAAGAAAATAAAGAAAACTAAATATTAATAATAAAAATAATATAAAATAAAAATTAAAGTATTAAATCAAATTATTAGTATGTTAGTACACACTTCTACATAAAGTTATTATTAATATATGCAAAGAAAAATAAAAAATAAAATAAGATAATTATATTAATACAAAAAAGAATAAGAATATAAAGATAAAAATAAAATTAAAAAAATAATCTGGTTCTATACTCCAATCTCACCTGATAGGACAGCTAAACCAAGACAAAGCCTATGAAGAAGACCCTATCTATTTTTTTCCCCATGCAGTCTTATATTAACTAAAGTGAGAATTCAAAGTAAATGTCAAATTTAAAGTGATTCTGTCACCATATAATTACCTTACTTCAATCTGTTACTCGTCTGTTCCTTGCTCCTAATCTGTTCTTATTTTTCAAATCTATTCCTCCTAAAATGCATATGGCAAAGTATGGACTATGTTGCCTTATGTATTTTTCCTCTGCTTGACAAAACTTGAGAAAAAAAAAAAAAGGAAAAGGCTGGGCTACTTTTGTTACATTTTGACACTTCCCTAAGCCATCGCTAGTGATGGCTGTGGGAATAAGGTATTATTTAACTCATTGCAAAACAATATCTTTGGAGGCTCCCTTGGGTACCTCCATAGACCTTATTGCTGTACTCTTGCTCATTCACCAAAGTACTGTACTGATGTTGTCTCTTGACAGATGAAGGGCCATTAGCTAAAGAGGATCCACTGTATACTGATGGTGGTGGCCTTGAGAGACAGCTTCAGGTAAGTAAAACGTGCTTTCCCCTGCACCACAAAGCCACCATCAAATTATGCAAAGAACCCAGAAGGTGACAGAGGCGCTTTAAGATCAAAGTGCAAAGGAGATTTTTTCCAGTTCGGCTATTTTTACATTAAATTTGAAAATCACTTTGATTGCACTTTAGTAAATAAACCCTCTGTTGTTTTAGCCAATCTCCAAGTACTCTCTTTTTATGTTCCACATAGCAGGCAGAGTTATTTATTCAGAGTAGAGTGCAGTGTGCAATCTTTATGGCTTGGTAACCTAACATGCTCACCAGCCTCCCATCACATTTTTGGGTTTGGCGTTTTGTTTATTGCAAAAGACTAATTTCCAGGTGTGATCATATTTATATTCCTCTCTTTGTTGAGTAAGTGTAAATGATAGATAAACCCCAGAGTGACGTGGTCCTTATCATAATACTAAATGAAATGGTCTAAGGATCATCGGATTAAAAATAAATATATAAATAAATCACATATCAATGAATTTTAGAGTGGTAAAAAACAAATTTGACATTTTTAAAGTAAACATTTTATTTGCAACTACGATAACTATACTTAAGAGATAATATTGCCAGAGAAGTTCAGTTACCATGACTACTTGATCATTTTGTGAATGTTTAATAACTGCTGTTTGGTGCTTACTGTGATTTTAATACTTTTTTTTTATTAATGCTGTACTCTCGTTAAAATGAATTTTTTTAATTCTCTGATAAAATCTTTTATAGTTTCCTCTTCCCGATTTCTTATAAATACATTTTATTTATTTTTTAAAAGGTAACATGTATAATAGTCTTCATTATTAAATATGATATATAGCATTCATGTTTGAATTTCATACTATTCTTCCTTTGTTAATATTCATGCCATTCAAAAAAGGTCTACCCAACAAATGTTGAATAGGTGGGCTACTGATGTTGACCTCCCGTAAGGACATCATAAGCAATTGCCTAAACAACAACTTTTAAGTGGCATCATGTGAGGAAAGCAACTCTGTCTCTGCCCACTCGGATCCACATATTTCATTATCTATTGTAACACACCTCCTCTTTTCCAGGTAGGATTTTGTCACAGATCTTGTAACCACAGCCTTCTAGGGTAATGAAAGTCCAGGACACATCCAGCTCAGTTTTTCAGATTTATTTGGTGAAATATATGTTCAGATGTTTCAAAAATGAAAAATAAACAAAACAAAATTCCTTGCTCCTGCTTGAGCACTTACTACACACAGCAAATCCCTATCTGGAATTGGGTGGCTTTCCCACTTGCCAATTTACAAAAAGTATAACTGCAAGACACCATTCCTCTGGCTTTTCCTCCTCACTCTGCAGCATGCTGATCCCTTCTTTTTAAAAGCCTGTTAGCTAATTGATCAGATACAGGTGAGGTGCAATTAGACATAAGTGAAACTACTAAGCAAAATAAAAGTTCTGGTCCGACTGTTACTTAGCAGCTGGTGCTATTGGAGCACTGGCCCACCCTGCTCTCCAAGTGCTCAGCCCCAGGGACCCATACCGTGGTTTGCAGAGTACCAGTGATGCATCTTGCAAACCTAACATCTCTCCCTGGGACATTTAACTCTCAAACCTCAGGCTGCTGTTCAGTAAATCAGGCCTAATATATTTGCCATCAACTACCAAACCACATTTTCTCTCACACTATATTAGCTGCTCCCACTAGCACTCATAGTCCCACTTGTTTTGTGAATTTGCTATCCACTCAACATGCCCTGAACACTTGCACCACTTTAGGTCGGTATACAAGTTCATAATTATCTAGACATTATATATAAATTACATTACAAAAACCAGACAGAGAGATCAATTAACAGGTAGATAGAGATCGAAAAATATGACAACATGCAATTTAAATAAAAAGCAAAGGTAAAAAAAAAAAATGAATGGAATACAGAAGCAAGGTACTAAGTATGGTTTATGGTTTAACATTAACATTCTAAGACTATACAGCATATACACAGGCTGTGTGCCTTGAATATACGTTAGATTGACAATGGTAACATAAAAGTGTTCATTCCGCCCTGACAACCAAGAAAAGTTTCAATTTGTATAAAACTTCATAAATGGAGGACAGTGTCAAGTCACTCTAGCTATACTAACAACTATAGTGGTTATATTACTTAGAATGTCTTTAACATTTGTTCTGTGGGATATTTCACCTTAAAATAAACTCAAAAATCGTACCCTCTTGGTCCACACACCTCCACATTCTTTCAAATACGTGACCCAGTGGGAAAATGAGCAATGGCTTCAATCATTAAATGCTCTTAAAGGCCTTACATCTTGCTTTTCACATATAGAAGCTCATAAAAAAGTAGTCTGCAGATGGTACCTCACCCCACAAAGGCTCCATCAGGTATACCCTGCAGTCAATCCAAGCTGCTGGAGATGCAGCTTAGTAGAAGGCAATTTGACCATATTTGGTGGGAGTGTGGTGTGATTAAACCACTATGGTCACACGTCCAACAGATCTTTAAAAACAAAAAAAACAATAGGATACTCACTACTTCTCACATCATCGGTGGTACTTCTGTTGCTTTTCCCCAACTATGTGGAAGAAAGAGGTTAGGAAATTGGCTTCTTTGGTTATATTAGTAGCAAGGAATCTCCTCGCCCAACACTGGAAAAGCATATATTATAGATATGAGATACTTTCCTCAGACTGCCACGAAAGAACGAACAGAACAAACATGGAATAAATGGCTCAACCTAATGGGCCACCCACAGTCCTTGGACCCACCTAAGTCCTCATTGTAACGGTTGAAACCCGAGAGACCAATACGATCTGATGGAGGTACACCACACTCCCCACCAAGGAAGACACACACAAGATACACATCATGAGCCAATTAGGACCACTATAGAATGGATACAGGGGGGCAATTCTCAATTATTAGCATATTGTGATAAATCAATGCTATAAATCAATGAGTAGATGGATATGTATTCAACGTTGTAATTTGTTCTTTGTATTGTGAAGCACACAGAAGTTTTGGTCATGTCGTTCCCCCACCCCTTTTTTCCTTCTGTACCCCATTTCACTTTTCTGAAAATAAAAAAAAAAAAACTTTAAATTTAAAAAAAATAAATAAACTCAAAATCAGTCGTAGGGTAAAACTGGTTTTATGAATATAATATCTTTAAGAAAGAAAAACAGCCATATTCTGATTTTCAGAGGAAAATAATTGTCAGGTGGTGGCTCTGGTGGACAATAAAGGCCATAAAACATCTACAGATGATAGAAGCAACATGAACAGCAACAGGCTGTGCAAAGTAAAGTCCATCCCTCAAGAATTAATTTTTCCAAAGAACTTGGAAGAGAAGATACAGGGAGACCAGTAATCTCTGTGAAGAATCTACAGAGGCTAATGACAGAGTAAAGCTATGGAGCTATCAAGGGCTCTACATAACACTATATGGGAAAGAAGCAAGACGAGATATTTTATTCAAAAAGTAATTATCATCCATGAGAATATCACAGGTAAGCCCACAAGGATTGTAAGTGATCCAATTGTCAATGTGGGGAAAAGATTTTTTACCAATAGAAGTGTAATGCAAAACTAGCATTGGCCATGTCTCAAGACACATCCCTGAGTGGGTATGAGTTTAACTTTTTTTTTTTTAAATATACTTCATAAAAAAATCTATTTCCAATACTTGATAAAAGATTATTATATAAAAAAATAGTTTTGAGGTAACAATTGTCCTCATGTTCTTGCCCTCAAATTTTTGTGCCCATACAATACGCAGAGCTGCTTACAATACAGAGTTAGATAGCTTCCAATTCCGACATCCTAAGAATAGGATGTCGTCACTAGCTCCCCAAACTTACCAGAAGGGAGATGGTTCAACCTTGTGTAAATGCATGCCAGGCTGCCTGACCAGTGTTTCAGTGCTCCCTGCAGAGTCCTACTGAAAAACTAAACATAGCGCAAGTGTGTCTTGGCTAAATGTTAGGGCCAGATCCTTGGAGTCCCCAAAAGAGGAGAATCAGTAGCGTACTAATGGGGGAGAGCACGGGGCTTACATATTTAAAGATACCAAATTAGGGTGCTGTTTAGCAGATAGCTCCCTTATTTAGGGTCCTTAAACATGGCAATCCCAAATAAGGGTAGCAAATAGGGGAGTTATCTGATAAACAAAGATCGATGTTAAGAGATGTCAGCCAGTCCACAACAAGAAATCGGGGCGGCTAATGTGAATTATATGCAAATTGTTGACTGATGCCAACGTGCATTGCATGCTGGCATCAGGCAGCACATTACTCCATCCCATAGGGAAAGGTTTTAGTGCCCCCATCCAGTTTTGTAGTGCCCCCCTACATATTGTTCCTAGAGTCACCACTGTGTCTGCATGTGTATCTGGGTGTGACTGTGTGTATTTATCTGCATGTGTGTCAGTGTTTATATATGTGCATACATCTCAGAATCTTGCTAAAACTACACACAAATACACCCCTGCATTTCAACGACACACTACATACAAACCCCACCATTATATGTAACTACACCACTGCATTAAAAAACCCACACCACATAAAAATGCATGCCTGCATTCAAATGCCAACACCACATACAAACACACCCCCTACATTCACTTATACATACTCCCTACAAAAACATGCTTACACTCACAAACACAAAACACTGCTTAGTGCTAAATAAAAAAAATTAAAAAATAAAATAAAATTGTGTTTGTTTTACATTTTACAGCTGGTGGGGGGAGGTACAGAGTTACCCATACAATATTCAGACCTTTAATATAAAGATATCCATGCAATACTCAAAGCTAGGTACAATACACAGAATGAGTACAATACAGATATATCCATACAATACAAAGAATCCAATACAATAAGGAAATACCAGTTTGGTACAGAGAGCCAATCATAATACAGATATACCCATACAATACAAAGAATCCAGTACAATAAGGAAATAACAGTACAATAAAGAGAGCCAATCACAATACAGATATATCCATACAATACAAAAAATCCTGTGCAATAAGGAAATACCAATATAATACAGAGAGCTGAGCATAATACAGAGCTACCCATATAATTCAAAGAGCTAAATAGACTATCAAGGTACAATATAATACAGGCAGAAATACTACAAACAGAGCTGGGCAAAATACGGAGATATCTGTAACTTTCAAACACAGGCAAGGTCACGGAGATAGATTACACAGAGCTGCAATACACAGATACCCACACAGTACAATATCTCTGTAAAAAGCCCTCGTACTCTCTGTGTAACTAGCACTCGAGCTGTCTCGGAGTCTCTAGCTCTCCATTTTCTGACCTCATCTTACGTGGCATCCCTGCTATGACAATGTTAGATTTCTAGTAAATATTGCTGCTGCTGCTGTTACTATGAAACATGTCAGCTGCTATTAACTCTAACCACACAGGGTGCATAGGGTTAAAGGACAACTGTCAAATTTTCATTTTTCAAAAGTTTACGTTTATCGATAACAATATTTTATTTATTTTTTAACTGATGAATGTTGATTTTTGTTTGCATAAAACGTAACTTTGTATCAAGCTGAGCAGCCACGCCCCGGTCAGACTCTACGGTTATCTGACCAACTGCCATTGAGCTCACCATTCGTGCTGCTGTAATTTCTCTAACCGGTGAGAAACGGACGCCGCAGCCGGCAAAATACATTGAGCAGCAGTTGCTCAGTTGACAGTTTTTGAGCCTACACTGTGCCTGGGCTTTCCTGGTTTTATATAAATATTTTAAATTGGATATTTTAAATATATAATCAATAATTAAGTAATAAAAAATAATTATTGAATTAAATAATAACATAAATTCCCTTGCTTAATCAGACCTGAGGCAGGCACCGAGGCTGTTGGGGGGGGGGAAATATATTTATACACGTGTAGCAAGTCCTCAATCATGCTACTTCCAAGAAGACTGCTTGGTCCTCTGTCCTGTGGGCACTGTAACTCCGCCCCCCCCGATGCTATCAGCCAATGATAGCCCTTGAATAGAGAGGCCAATAGAATGCATCTACTCATGGTGCAGCTGGCTCTTAATGGCAACTCAATAGGAGGCCTTTGGATGAACAAGAAGCTGGGTGAATAGGAAGATAACTTCACTAGCCCAGCCATTCTTAGGACTAGTAATAGACAGCTTTTCCTTTTATGCTATTAGGATAGCATGCAAGTTCTGAATGTTGGGTCATACCCTTCATCTTGATACCCAGTTTCCATTAAGCTGTAGCTCTCAGATGGATCGTCTCACTTACAATTTGCCAATATATTCAATACACTTTTAAGAGTGCAATTGATCAATGCTCTTTTAAGTAGTGCAAGCTGTATGAATCCGGTCATTCTATGATGGACTCATGGACACAGATATTAACCAATGCCAGAAGACTGACTGAAGACTATATGAAAATGACTTACACCTTGTGGTAAGACTTCTCCCAGGGGCATGCTGGCAGGGGGGGCATTTTCCCCTGGGCCACTTGCATGCAGATGTTATGGGCTGCAATCTTACACCATTCTTCTACAGATTAACACAGGCGGAAGGCAGGACTTGTGCAAGGCCTTTGCTAGTATGAGTGTCTACATGACCTGTAGGCCTATAATCTTAGTGTCCTCCAGACCTGTACTGGTTCGTTCACTAGGATATTACCCAGTGGGCCGCAGTTTCCATTGGTAGCAATGGAGCCCTGGGCAACAGAATTGGTGGTTGCTAGCATTGCACAGATCTGAGAATGCTCCATAAGGTTATACAGGTAATACAAAAGGAGGTTTCAGAGATATCTGTCAAATCCATATTTTGCATGTGCTGCATGAGAAGGAACACTAAACTGAGCTCTATGTGCTTTCTGCACATTTTCTGTGGGGCGGAGCCAAGCTACTGAACTGAATGGCAGCATGACGTCCGAGCTCCGTGCTAAAAAAACAAACTCATCCACAAATTATTACAGGGGTTTAAATCACTCCAAAAAAACTGCAAACTAACCCAGCAACTGACACTCACAATATGGGGAGGAAGAACAAAAAAAAAAAAAGTTCCGACAAGCCGAGCATGGGCATGAATATCGGCAATTTATGGCGCCAGGCCCGGAGTGAGGTAGAGCCTCAGATTTTTACTGGGAACGGCAGAAGGACACAATGGAGCGGACGGCTCCCAAACCTACTGCCTTTCACCAAGACTTGTCCCCGGTGACGACGGCGAACATGAAAGAGCTGCTCGTGGATCTCCAACATACCATCCAAGCTGATATGGCCCAGCTCCAACAAAAACTGCACGGCCTAACGAGCCGCATGGGGGCTTTAGAAAACGACACCCACCAAAACACCCAGCCCAACATCAAAAGGCAGTGCAAGAGCTGCAGGTCCAACAGGCAAAAACAGATCAGAGGTTTGCAGTGCTTGAGGACCAGAGGCGCAGACTGAACCTCAAGATGAGGTATTTTGGAGGAGACTCCGGAGACAGAGCAACCACACCTGTTGCGGAGACTTCTCACAGCACGGCTACCCCCCAAGCAAGCAAAACAGGTGGGCCTGGAGGGGATGTTCTGCCTGCAAAAACCAGCAAAAGCACCGACCTCAGCACCGAGAGACCAGTGCGATTCCAAAGCAGCAAGGATAAAGCAGCTATCATGAGCGCAGTCCAGAACCATTCACCGTACACCTTTGAAGGAATGCAGCGCTCTTTCTATGTGGACCTGTCCGGGAACACTTTGGCGTGGAGAAGATCACTCCAGACCTTCATGTCCCTGGTTCGGTCTAAAGGCATCACGTACAGATGAAAACTGCAACTAATGCCGGAGGTTCAACACTGCACCGCAACATACTCTCTCTGGGATCTCTGGGAAGCAAAAGGTCTGCTACCAATACTGGGACTGCCAATAGATACCCTGGTCACAGTACAACCAAACAATACCACCTCCCCAACCCATAAATGGAATCCTGCAGCAGTGCTACTCTTTGTACCCCAGGGGACACAACCAGATGCATATGTGGTTGTTACCACTTTAATGGCTCCTGTATGCCTGCAGAGACAGGCTTGTACTATCCCTCCACAAACGTTTCACATATTTTCTGTTGACGTTAAGATGTTATAATTTTTTGTCATTCTCATAGGGAATGATTAGTATAGGTATTAGAAGTCTGGACATGGACACAGAGGGCAGGGCACAACAACCACATTCCTACTCCTGCATAGCACCATGCTGACGCATGACAACCCCTGTGACACCTAGGGTTAGGGGACGATGCTCTACCCTATGTACTACCTAGAAGGGACAAGACTCTCACAACCCCACAGCGCACGTGGAGAGGCATTACCCCGCCAGGGCCACACACACAACCCCGACTGTCACAGAGTAGAATCTCTGCTGACACAGGCTCAGACGTTAATCCTAATATCGGTACAACCACATGATACACCGCGACCAACCCTATGCACACATGGACAACAATGTTTCTCAACATCCACCCACAGCTCTACCCACACACTGACTATGGCATTGACACCCCCCCATAACAAGCACTCGGACCACTAGTCCTCACCTGCGTTTAAGTAACCCAAGCTATGTACCGTTCCACTGTTCCACTGGCATTGTATGTTACTGCATTATTCTTCACACAAAAAATAAAAAAAAATATAAATATGTATTTTCCGTTTTAAAGCCCCAAGACCGGGGGGGCGGAGCTTGACCGCCATGCGGAGCAGTCGCAAGCATCCAGAGCTCCCACCAAACAGCCGACTTTAAGCCCCCCTTACCCCGACCCAGGCAAGCTAAATGGGTCCCACGCTTACTTACTCCACAGAGCTACTGGTGGGAATGGGACAGAGGCATCACAGGCTCCCAGGAGACACTAGCCAAGGCAGGTCCGACTTGCGGCCTAGCGGTTGATGCGGGGCTGGGGACGCAGCCGGTCCTCCAGTCCCGAAGTCCTGCAGACGCAGAATCTCTCCCCCCCCCCTTGGACCGCTGGGGGTCATCACGGTCCACCATGGCACCCCTACAAGCCCAAACACCTGCAAACAAGCCCTGCCAGACGGGAGCGGGCGGGAGGAAGCAGCAGCACTCCGCTCACTTAAAATGGCGGCGGGCAGAACCGGGAAGTCCCCTATCGGCAACGCAGCCTTAAACTACACAAGAGCAAGCTGCTAGGAGGCAGAGGCAGACATCGGAGAACCGGTAGCTGGAAAGGTCAGTGGCACCATCCCACAGCCACAACCCTGATGCAGACAGGGCAGGGGAGACAACCACATGACAAGCCGACGCAAAGTATGCCAAGGCAGCCAAGATACCTGGCGACACCCTGCTCCGGCCCCATTCTAGCCCACACCGGGACTCAAAGACCCTGCCTCACATGACCTACCTGGCAAGAACCGACCCTGGGACTAAACACAGCCCGGAGAGCACCCACCACTCTTTACCCAGCTGCAACCCCCACGCCATTTATCACCTCTACCTGCGCTGACGGGGCCCACCTGGCGTGTAGCCAACCCAGACCAACGGTGCTATGGTTACCATACACAAGCAGGACTCTAACTATACACAACTCTTATCACTCATAATTATCAAGCATGTTTATAGAGAAGCCTAATTATCTGTGTAGCAAGCCTGTTTCTATATAAAATGTGTGTCAAGCGATAATAATCCAAAAATGTGCAAAGTTTTTCAAGCATACTTCGAGATCCACTAATCTTTAGTAATCTAAGGCAACGCAGTTAGAAATTATCTATGTTCAACCTGTTCTTAGTAAGCCTGTTTATGTACAATATGTATGTCAAGCGATAATAATCTAAAACAAAAAAGTGCAAAGTTTTTTTCCCCTGCCTACCTAATGCAAATCTTTGTTTGACTCTGCATGCCCTGGCTGTTGTGGCTTGGTGTGCTATATGTGATTTTTCATGCACAAATAAAATAAAGAATTATAAAAAAAAACCTATAAAGTGTGAAACCTGGAAATCAGTGTATCAGTGTGGGCCTTGAGCAGCTATTTAACCCCTTAAGGACCAAACTTCTGTAATAAAAGGGAATCATGACATGTCACACATGTCATGTGTCCTTAAGGGGTTAAAGGGATACTGTAGTGCCGGGAATACAAAGCTGTATTCCTGGCACTACTGATCCCTCTGTCTCCACCCTCTCTTCCGTCCCTCCTACCCGGAAAATAAAGGGTTAAAAACCCTTAAAAAAAAAAAAAAAGCCCCAAGACCTAGAGTTGACACCCCTCCCCTGGATTTTAGCCTTCAAAGAACTTCATTGAAATGAGTTTGTTTTAAGGGCGAGAGTCCCTTTAACTGGAGAAAGAAGTGCCTTAGAGAATCTCTGGAAGAGGTTTATAAAACCATCTACATAAGCCTTTAGCATGCATGCCATTACCCAAGTGAAAACTATATAGTTTCAAAAAACTAATATCAAGTTTAAAAATATTTCCAGGCTTATTTTATTTTGCAGTACTGAAATGTTTGATTTCATTAAGCTCCAGGGGTAATTCTGCACTATTAACATTCTAAATTTATCGTGTCTCAAAACATAAAACACATTCTTTAATTTAAGCTGTGTCTTAAGAGAAGAATTAAACAGGGTTGTATTGTCTGTTGGGAGTTTGAAAATTATGGCAAAGCAGTTCGAACCATAAAGAGTTAACAACAAACTTTGTTTAAATTATTTATTTACTTATATTAGGTTATTGGCATTGTCTTTAGCATGCAAAATTAAGTCATTTATATGTTAATGAAATCTTTGGAAACTAGGCATGGCAGAGTTCTGTTTTCTGGCACTCTGTTTCAAACTGTCCATAAAAAAAGAATTTAGTTAGAATGAAACTGGAAACAGAACAGCTCTATATGTAAATATATAAACTTTAACTACTATAATGGATAATGTCATATAACAAAGCTTATTGCTTAAAGGAACACTCCAAGAACGATAACCCATTTAACAGTTTAACAATTTATCTTCAGCTTACTGCTGCATCCGCTGGTATGGAAAGATCATGTAGCAAGCTTCCATTTGCTCCGTTAGGGTCTGGGTCATTTACTGAGAGTGTCAACTAATAGCTCTCAGCCAATGAAGGTGGCCGTCTATGGCCTGGCTTGGATCGGTAGCAGAGCTTCAGGCAACATGGAAGACGGACAATGAGTGCTCGGAGAGCCTCAGGTGAGTTGTCTTACTTGAAAAAGATAACAATTTTAAAGACACACCTAAGTTTATTTTAAGCCTTACTAGAGAAATATATGTACACTTCTAGCTTTAATCAACTAATTACAACATATTACAGCCCTAAACTTAATGTGTGAATGGCTCAAAACCGGACCCTATAGTGTTTAAACCATATGGATCTCTTGCCCCCCCCCTTTTAAAACGCACCTTATTTCCAGCCATTTGGAAAGTATTAGGTTGGCTGAGGCGGGGAGGCGGGGCAAACAGCAGCTTGGCCAATCAGCATCTCCTTATAGAATGCATTGAAGACACTGAACTGCCCCAGGAAACGACTCCAGTGGCCATCTGAGGAGTGGCCACTGGAGGTGTCCCTCGGCTTTAATCTAAACACTGCCTTTTCTCTGAAAAGACAGGGTTTACTACAAAAAGCCTTCAGGAACAGACTATACTCATCAGAGCAACTACATGAAGCTGTAGTTGTTCTGGTGACTTTAGTATCCCTTTAAGAAGTCCCTCAAAACCCATCTGTTCAGAAATGCTTATGGCCTCCCAGAGTAACTTATGTATCACATATCTCTCACTTGCTCTCTCCTAAAGAGTCACACCTTGTTTGTTTACTGTCCCCTTTGTTGACCTTCCTACTGTGTCTTTATACTCCACTCTTCTACACTGTAAGCTTTTTTGAGCAGGGCCCTCATCTACATATTGTTCCTAACAACCCACAGGGGGTTAATTCATAAGCGTGACAGCCCAACAGTATACCACTCATAGGCTCTTTGCCCATTTTCACATGTATTTTACCTAATTTCTCTTGTTTATCTTACACGTTTTACCGTATAACCAGATGCCCAAGATACACCGTACATCTGATGTTCCTGTTTACTCCTGTGCCTGGACATGTAAGCTTAACTTGTTCATCTTACCATAAAATTAGGCAGTTTGTGTTTATTAGCATGTTAAGTAGAACTCATACTTCACAACTCTATGTATAACTGGTTTTACTAGGCATCAAGCCCAAATTAAGTTGCGTATCTAGTAAAATATAAAATGCGGGCTAGCGTCTCAACGCCCTCTTTTATCAGATCTAGACGTGATAGATTAGCCTGAACGATCTTAATCTCATAAAAATTAGCAATTTTACTAAAAGCCATGTTGTTGACTTAAGATGTGTTACTATATATACTTGTATCAGCTGTCATGGCTGTACCAGCCGGTTTGTAATTTTACGCACAACAAAAATAAAGAATTAAAAAATAAAAACATAGGAAAGCATCGATTCAATGCTTTCCTATAGGGGGGTGGTGGGGAAGCGTTTGACAGCGCATTGCATGACCATTAGCCCCTCTTACTTTGTAGGAGATGTCAGCACAAGAGTTGGAATCGGGTGAGTAAATAAAGTTTTTTTTAACCCTTTATTGGCCAGGAGGGCTGCGAGGGAGGGGGGAGTCAGAGGGTTCTATAGTGTTAGGAATACAGATTTGGATTCCTTACACTACAGAATCCCTTTACGTCTACATCTTTTTTTCCAGTAAATCTCCTGTCTTGACCCAGCTTAATACATTTACCAACCCAATTTGATGTGTTTAGAATGATGCAAAGAATCTATGTAGAAGTTCAATTATTCATCAGCTTGGTACAGAAGACCAGAAACTAACCAAAAAGTACTTTTAAAAAGATTCCATGATCTTTGTATATCATTTTAGTTTGAATACATTTAAGTCTACGCCTCATTTCAGTGTATCTCCTATATCACCCTTTCTCGAGCTCCTCCTAGGTCAAATGCAGTTTTCCTAAGTCATAGTCATGCAAAATCAGAACAAATGAAACTGTCTCAGAACATGGTTTTGAGATACCAAGTACTTGCACAAGGCACGAGGATTCATGGTAGTCAAATACTTGATCTTTGGAAGGATAAGCAGTGCTTTTGACCACAGAAGGGTTAAAAAAGGCCGCATCACGGATGAAAGGGTAACCCAAGCGAAGCACTTCAAAAGATATCTACTGATATGTTGCATAACAAAATAATACACACAGAGGCGTCACATGCATTTTTATATTCCCGTAATAAAATGTCAATTTTCCTTTAAATAAACAACTTCATATCTATACATTTGCAAGCCATTTGTCTAATAAAGTGAAGAGATTAAATTCAATAGTGTTAAAACCAAACCATCATATTTTGCGTGGCAGAATTTACTTGGCTCTTAGTTCGTTTTATTTCTTTTGATCTGTCTAATCATTTGCATAAAGTGAGATTATTGGTTTTTATTTCCTATGAGATTCTTGAACTTAATTCTCATTGGTATAAAAAAATATAAAGAGAATTTTAAATGTTATTGTGTCTTCCATATACTCAATCAACTAAACACAAGTGACTCTCAGAGACCGTCTTTCAATATTCTGCTTTTGAAGACTATGTAATGAAATTAGATTAGCGGCAGAAAACAAAATGAATACGTGTATGTGAAACGTGCCTTTATAATTAAGATTCAAATCTGATTTACATTCGCACCTCGTTGTTTCTGCATTAATGGCTTGATGAGCAGAGCTTTTTCTATATTATTATCATCATCACACACAATATGTAATATTGTTCAACTAATTTAGCTCGTCAAAAATTGGAATTAACATTTGAGTCTTTTCGGTGTTATGTTGTCAGGCAATTATGTTATTGTTGTGACTATGATAGGAGAATACACAGAGACCGTATGACAGTCCTGGAGAAGGTATTACAAAAAATAGAAAATTAAAAGTATAAAGGGTTGAACATGCTTGCTGCACACAGCAATGGCAGAAAGTTTCCCTGGGGTAAGCAGAAAATATAATTGTTTCTTGATTTCTATTGAATTGCAGATTGAACAGAGATATTGCTTTAACTAGTCTGATTTAACTTGATAGTCATCTCATCAAGGTGGGCCATCGTTGAATGAATTTTGAGCTGCATCTGATGCAGGAGTAGAAGTGAAAACATGATAGCGTAACTAAACTATGAAGAGTGGTGAATTAAAATCCAAATGGCACGTATCTCTTATACCCTACTCAAATTGTTTTTTGCTTTACGTGACATTACAGAGTGAATCCTTACAATTTGGATATCAGTTTGACTTCATACTTTAGGTGATCTGAAATTTTGTTAGATTCCCTCTGCCTGAGCAACACAGCAACTCCAGATGATTGTTTCAACATCCATTGGGCCTCGAGAGCGGATACACCTCTATGCACAAGGAACAAGGTATCGACATCTGGATTACCATTCAACTTTAGACTGTAAGCACGTTTGAGCAGGGCCTTCTTCAAACTATCGTTCCTGTAAGTTTTCTTGTAATTGTCCTCTTTATAATTAAATAATAATTGTACAGTGCTACAGAATCTGTTGGCGCTATATAAATGGCGATAATAATAAATAATAACTTAAAGAGATTCTAAGCAAATGCATACAAGTAAAATAAAAGAAAAAAGAGAAACTTGATAGCTTACACTTAAGTAAGTCCTCACTCAGATCTCAAACAAGTTCTAGCACATCTTTGGGTGAACATATACATACATGCCTAGTGTCCCTATTTTGGGCCCAAGTCCCTCTGTCCCACTTTTCTATCCTAATGTCCTTCACATCTAGGAACTCCATATTGTTGAGGGTATAACAGAGCTCCACAGTAATGATACTCAAAGTAATGTGCTTTTAAACTGCAATAAATGTGTTAAAATATCAGTCTATTTAAATAAGATACATTGTTACATATTTTAAATATACACACACATATGTACATACATACAAACATATAGATACATACACGCACAATGCAGATCAAGGAACAGTGCATACAACAAAACAATTTTACAAGACTACTTCAAATCACACCTTAGCAAACAAATATGAAGCTTCAGTTACACCATTTGACCATATTGTGTTCAGCCCACTGCTACGTCATACTACCCCAATATCGGTGGTTCCTGCTGTCCTAATCTGTATTTTGTATTGATGTTGGTCATGATGCTGAATGACAATCGTCACGAATGCACACTACAGTACAATCACACATACACACACACACACACACACACAAACACTGGGACACTGTTCACAGTCACCCGTGTGTTCACACTCACTCCATTGAAATCTAGCCTGGGCAGCTAGGGGTGGGGGCACCAAATTTTGCTTTGGGCTCAAGCCCCAGGCATTTTTCAAACTCAGCAACACCCCTGGCTAAAAGTATATTTACATATACCTTGTATAAATCTACTGCACTTTTATTGTAGACGTGGTTTGTTTTATCTCTATATCCCTGGGCCCTTGACATTTTTAAAACTCCCATGGGTCTCATAAGTATTCTTTAAACATTACAGTGCTTCATTTTTTAATTATCATCAACTAATCATTTTATTACTGCGGTAATTAAATGCCACTCTGCACAATTAAAACTAAAGAATTCCACATTAGGGTAAACATCTCATAAATTTTAAATCTAATAAAGCTTAAATTATGTAAATGTGTAAGCAAGTATCTATTTTTATTCTTGTGAAAAAAAACTATAAATTTCTATCCTGAAAATTCTCATATGACCAGACATTTGGCAACAGTTTGGTTTTTGCCCAACACAGACACACGTTTTGGGCTCCTGTCCCAATTTATGATAACAGGCATGCAATGGAGTTTTAGATTGGTACTATAAAGAAACACCTATCACAGAGTTGATTGCTGGGCTTATTTCAGTGCTAATATATCACTTAATTACTGTATTACTGGTCACACAATTTGTGTCACCAACATGACCTTGAGCTGGCCCCGTCCCATTCCCTCCTTTCCAAACTTCATACTTTCCTAATTTACAACGTGATGTTCTTGTATCCATGTTTGCCACAATATAGCATATTAAGCCATGTTAACAATATTGATGTACAGTATTGTAACATTGCAAGTATACATAAAATCAGTTTACCTCTGCTATCAGAATCAGGGAATTGCTTTAAACTTCCATAATTCCCTTAACATCACCTGACGTTGGGGGACATAAAGTACACCTAGCATACCAATCATGATTTGATATCAATTCATAGTGAATAAAATTGAATGTACAAATTTGTGAGAGATTTCTCAAAGTGTCGCCGACAGTATTGCGTCTTTTTTTGTGTATGTGTGTTTTTTGACACAATTTTTCAAATCTGTCAATTTTTTTCATGTAATCGCTACTTTTGCGCCTGTCGTTTTTGACTGTATGCTGGTTTTGTGACGACACAATGGGTCTGTCAATCTTTCCATTACATTTTTAACCAGAAAAGTGTTCTTTCACTCTTTGTTTTTCTACTACTCTAAATTTGCCTGTCTTTTGTAAAACGGCTATTTGTGTGAAAAATGGCAGAATTTAGTAAGCGAAACACTGACACTTTTTAGATCATTTTAATAAATCTTAGCAGATTATAAACCAAAAATAAAAGACACTTTTCAGAACACCTTGATAAACCAAATTGCAAGTAACTGTACAGGAGAAAACAAATTTTCATCTAAATATTTTTAATGAATACTAAGAGTGGGTGTCAATTATTTTATAATGACAGATTTACATTAAAACAAAAATTAAAAAAAAATGCAGCAAGGGAAAAATGAAGGTGTTTTGTGTAACATGCCCTGTGTGTTCCTTTTTTAGAAGGCAGTTGTAACAGCTTAGTGCAGTTATATTGTTAAATCAATTGTAAAGAAAGTATATATGCAATAAATGTCTCCACAAAATGTTCAACAATTTATTGTAGAATCCTTTCATACAACACACAATCAGACAGGTGAACAAATAATAATAATAATAATAATAATAATAATAATAAAAAAATCCCTACTCATAATTTAAAAAAACCCAAAAGTTTTCAAACAACAGATACCCTAGGGGGATCAGTCATTCAACAGTGAATTACAATAAACAGAAATGTAAATTTCAAAATCAGGCCAAAGTAGTTGATACAGAACAATTCTCCAACTTAGCTACATTCACAGCTTTTCTACTATAGCCTGAATTGTAATTTTGTTTTCAATTCACTGTTAAGAGAATAAACCCTTAAGTGTTTAACAATTCATTCCAAAATATTGCCAAGTTTTGTTTAAAAAAAAAATAAAAAAATAGCAAATACAATTTTCTTGATTGGAAGCAAAAAAAAGTAAAACAGGCTACATTACCTTTAGTTGCCTTTGAGCCAGTGAAGATTTCATTGTGGCTGGTTAATAGACTCTCTCTCTATCTCTGGAATCAATTATGAATGTCTTTAAATCAGCAGTTTTTAAATGTAATCCTCAGATATAGCCCATCTCTAGCCTGCCCTTTTATTATTTTATAGACAGTTTGTAAAGTTGTACAGCCTGCTGCAATCAGACAGCCTGTGCTGAATTATAGATAATACAAAGTATCAGATCAAACTTTGGTAACTAAGTAACATGCTAGGTGAGGGACAGCACAAGGTGTGTTTGTGTTGGTTTTCCCTGTCCTGTAATTAGCTCTGTCAATCTCAGTGGCTGTCTGCTTTTAATCCTCTTAGTAAAATCAATTCCACAATGCTGTTAAAATATTACATTACTGCACTTTGCAAGCAGTAAACAAGGGGCAAGAGAAACCCCCTTCTTTAAAATAGTATTATTTATATGGGTGACTATGTTTTTATAACGTCACCAGAGACCCCCTCAGCACTTCTCTAAAACTGTGTGGAGTGCCTCTGTAACCATGGTAACCCCTAACGTTAAACATGGCCCTACCCCTTGTCTGTTCACTTCCTATGACTGAATTAAACGCCTTTCAGCTCAGGCTGTCCTGCAATGTCTTTCTTTGTCTTGTTGCTTTGTGAAGCTCAGTCTTGAAGGACAGAGTTTCTCTTTAAAATAGGGGGTTGTAGCAGGAGCTGCTGCAGAACCTCTTGTTGTTTCACTCCTGCATATTTAGGCTATAAAAAAATAATAATAAAGTTTTAAAGTCAGCAATTGTTGCTTGCCTTAAAGGGAACTATTCACTTAACCCAGAACTGTGGTGAATTCAAAGCTGCACTGCAAAATGTAGGCAAAAATAACCATGTTTTGGCTATGGCTGAGTTGTATGTTGTTTTTCCAAAACGTCTGTATCAGCCTATATTTTGCTTATAAGCATGTGAATTTTGAACTATAACTCCTTCCTTGATAAACCCTGTCAGAGTTTTCCTTTGCTTACAATGGTTAAAGGAACATTCACAGCAGGATGTAGTGGTTATGGTGACAGGAGAACCCTGGCATCCTCCCAGATTAAAAGACCACTATAGTGCCAGGAAAACATACTCGTTTTCCTGGCACTATAGTGCCCTGAGGGTGCCCCCACCCTCAGGGTCCCCCTCCCGCCCGGCTCTGGAAGGGGGAAAGGGATAAAAACTTACCTTTTTCCAGTGCTGGGCGGGGAGCTCTCCTCCTCCGATCCTCCTCCGTTCCTCCCCGTCGGCTGAATGCGCGGCAGCAAGAGCTGCGCGCGCATTCAGCCAGTCACATAGGAAAGCATTCACAATGCTTTCCTATGGACGCTGGCGTGCTCTCACTGTGAAAATCACAGTGAGAAGCACGCAAGCGCCTCTAGTGCTGTCAATGAGACAGCCACTAGAGGCTTTGGGGGAAGGCTTAACCTATTAATAAACATAGCAGTTTCTCTGAAACTGCTATGTTTATTAAAAAATGGGTTAACCCTAGCTGGACCTGGCACCCAGACCACTTCATTAAGCTGAAGTGGTCTGGGTGCCTAGAGTGGTCCTTTAAGGTGTCAGACCGTTTAAGATTAGTTTGACAATTTACCTGGGTCATGCTGCAGTAAACTCAAGTACTTTTTTTTTTTATTTCATGTTAGATAAAAATAGCCAAACTGAAAACTTAGCATTTTCCATTGTGGCTATTATAGTCTAAAATTTGGAATTTAGTGACTTACCATGAGGGCATTAGCTTTGGAAACAATGGAAATTGGGGCGAGGACAGCTTTTTGTATAATAATCCCAGCTCCATTTAGGGAGCATACATAAATCAATGCAGTTTCTCAGTCAATAGTCTATATTATCACAAAGTATATATTAGAAGAAAGGGATAGCCAACTCTTGTAATGTTTTTATTTTTGGGGGGGCTGGGGAGGTGTGAGAGGGGAGTGTGGCTGTTGTTGGTTTTTTCTTTCTTTCTCAAACAGTGAAACAAACAATAAAAAAAAAAAATAGCAAAAGCTATATCAGATTTTCTTGGGGGTATGTGACCTCCCATCACCCCTTGTTCTTAAAGTCTCCGGAGGGTAAATTGCTAAAGTGTGAATTATTAGGAATTCAATACAAATGTGAAATTTTTGTGGAGTGTATTGGAATTACAAAATTAAGCCTTAAAAACCGCCAAAATGTTACTTGAGCTGAAGATATTTTTTTCCTTAAGCAGGTATTATCCATCTCCTATCCAAGAATGATTTTATTACAAAATATTCTGAAATGATAACCCAGATGATAATAATAGAAATCATTTCAAATAGCAACCGTGTAAGAACAATGCCCTGCTATGACTCATTTTGAAAACAACCCACTGTCTGTTTGTTTTCTTCATACTTTTTTTCGTGTGTGTTGTATTCTCAACAACTACGTAATACCTAATAATAATCTAGGCTCATCTGAGAATGTCACTTAATTTAAAGGGACACTATGTCACTAGAACAACTACAGCTTATGGTATTTGTTCTGTGAGTAGAATCATTATCTTCAGGCTTTTTGCTGTAAACACTGTCTTTTCAGAGAAAATGCAATGTTCACATTACAGCCTAGTGATAACTTCACTGGCCACTACTTAGATGGTTGCTGAAGCTGCTTCCTTGGGCAGTGCTGCAGAGTAAGCAGCACTGGCATTCAGTGTCTCCACCCTCTACATGCAGACACTGAACTTTCCTCATAGAGATGCATTGATTCAATTCATCTCTATGAGGAGATGCTGATTGGCCAGGGCTGTGTTTGAATCATGCTGGCTCTGCCCCTGATCTGCCTCCTTAACAGTCTCAGCCGATTCATATAGGGAAGCATTGTGATTGGATCAGACCACCACTTCTGCTGATGTCAGCAGACAGGGGCAGGTCAGAGGCAGACAGGGACAGAGCCAGCAGCTACTGACTTAAATACAAGTAAGATTCTACTATATTTAAAGAGCTAAGAGGGGGACAGGGGTGCTAGATGGTGGTTTTAACACTGTAGGTTCAGGAATACATGTTTGTGTTCCTGACCCTATAGTACTTCTCTAAAGTATGCAGGGTCAATATAATGTACATATACCATACTGAATTTCAGATTAGTCCCTATGCCAATAAACATATACATGGCTATTCATTATGGCTCTATTCACTAAATACTGGTTTATTCACCAGGCCCAAAGGTCCCAATTTCTGCAGGACTGTCCTGATTTCGGGGTCCTGTCCTCGAAGTACTATTCCATATGATATGCTGATCAAGACTGTTGGAATTTCATTAAAATTCCAATGCAATCTACAGATACCATCAACACAATCCACAGATACCATAAGACAAAGTAAGGACTACTTTGTCTTATGGTGAAACATGAGGTCAACAAAAGACAGGGCTCCACAGTCAACTTTTGTCCAATCCCAGCAGCCATCACAAATGATGACAGTTTGATTTAGGCTCAGTCTACGGAGGATTGCGAGATAAGAATAGGGACAGGAGTGGGTGGAGCTAAAGAGCTGTGTCAGTGATGTCACTAGGGACTTGCAAAATGGGTGTTCCTGTATTTGAACAAGGGCAGGTAGGCAGTTCAGAAATTGGAAACCTGTGTAAGCCTTCGCATCAGGCCCCATATGATCAGCCTTCCTACCATTAGGCTTCAATCATTTGAGAGTGTATTGAGAGCAAGAAATACATAGCGTAATTTACTAAAGTAAGAATTCAAAGTTAATTCAAAGATAATTTTAAATTTAAGGTCAAAATAGCCGAACTGGAAAATTTCTCTAAGTCAGCTATGCATTCAAATTTGCCCTTAAATTTGAAATACAAGAATATAAAATATGAAAAAATAGACTAGTGAAAAACTATACTAAAAATAAAAAACTGAAGGCTTTGTGCATATTGAGCAGTAAGCCCAGGGCCTTATTTACCAGAAGGCCTCCGAGGTGGTGACTTTGTAGCAGCAGGTATTAGAGAGGTAGCATGACCGGTGAGGAAATCAAAGATCTCATGCTGGCCGCTGTGGCAGTATGTGCAGCACCCAGCCTGCGCTAAAAGGAGACTACAAACCTGCTTCTCTTCCTTTTCGGTGGTCTGCTGTGCTGCACCATCACTGCCATAACCCCCTCGTGACTTCAGCATCCTAGCATGTAAGGGAGGTAGAAGGGGCCAAAACAGATAGCCAGCAAAGAAGGGAGCATGCAATGCAATCAAGAGCACTGCCCTCCACTCCCCTCCATTATTATACACTGCCCTTCTCACCCTCCATTCCTGCTAGGGGCAAGTGCCAGACACCAGCCAACCCAGGAAGGGACCTACCAGGTCAGCAGCAGCCTGCTTTGCCCAGCCCAATGGTCAGCCTTCCAGTGTGTGTCTGCATGAGTCAGTGTGTGTATGTGTGTGTCTGTATGGATCAGCGTGTGTGCATGGGTCAGTGTGAGTGTCTGCATTGGTAATTGTGTATATGTGAGTGTGCATGAATCTTCACAAAGGTCAAAGTTTTCATAAAAAATATCAATACTTTTAAATTGTGGGAGAGTATCATGTATGCAGGAGTACGGGAGAGTATCATGTATATTAGAACGATATATGCGTATTATGTTGATATTAATATGTATTGTGTATATATAGATTTAATGAGCAGAATATAAAATTACTATAACACACATTCATTAATATACATATATGAATGAAGGGATTACGGGCATAATGTATTGAGGAAACTGGCCTTGGAGCAGCAAGTAGGATAACTCCGGCCCTGAGCAAGCCTCAAGCCTTTCACCGGATTAACCCCTTAAGGACACGTCATGATTCCCTTTTATTTCAGAAGTTGTGTCCTTAAGGGTTTAAGAGTCCATCCGCAGGCAGTTCGTAAATAACCCAGATAGTGTTTGAGAGAGAGAGAGAGAAAGTGTGTGTGTGTAGGCAGTGTACCTAATTAATCAAATATATAAGGTATTTGTGGCTTAGCTTTATCATTTGACATGCTCTAATTACAGTCTGACAAATATTACTATTTATAGTTAATATACCGTACATTCACATTACATAATGTGTTCTGGAGCCAGAAACTGGACACTAAATAATTTGCCTCGGTACTGGTTTGCTGGCTGAGAAATACACATCACAAGCATCTCCTCTTTAAATTGCCCAGTGTAAAGGGAAGCAGATTTGTATTGCGATTAGTTCTCTAGATTCTATCCTGGTATAGAGAATGACAATCAGCAACAGAGTATTCAGCCACTTGCTGTAAGTCTGTGTGCAGTGCCTATTGTCAGAGACAGGGGGAGTCAGTGCGCAGGCGCGGTAAGGAGCAGCAGACTTCCTTCTAAGAATTCTAGTGATGTGTTGATCATCATCAGTTTAGGGCGGAGAGTGTGTTAGGGAACACAAGCCCTGTCTGCCGTGTGAATGGTTATGGAAGGCATTTAGCAGACAGCACTGAGAGGTAAGAGCAGTCTATAGACTCTGCTGTGTTCCTAACACACAGTCTTCTGTGCAATCTGTATATTAGACACATGGCTCCCTGCTAATCACTGACAGCTATCAGCAGGGCTTCTATGAACCTAGTATGACTTTCAAGATGAGATCACCTATATATCTTTATATTTCTGACTGCTACAGAGTGTCTGTGAACATAGCTTGTGAAAAGGCTGTTCTGTAAAGCTACAAAGTTTGTAAACAACAGGTAGTTCAGACTCTAGTGTATGGGATTGTGTCTGTAAAATAACACTTGAAGATTCATGCAGAAGTAATTAAATAATAATCACAGGCCTTACAGGATAAACTGGATAAGTATCTAGCTACAGTATTAATTGCATTATGAGTAGCTTAACTTGTTTACACTTCTATGAACAAATATATACATACAGCATATGTAGATTAGCGTAAAGGTTTTTGTAATCTAAGTTTGGGTCCATATGAAAAAGGGGGTAAATAACACTACATAGTCTGATTGTAAGCAGGGCTGCTCCCAGATATTTTGATACCTCTTTAACCCCTTAAGGACACATGACATATGTGACATGTCATGATTCCCTTTTATTCCAGAAGTTTGGTCCTTAAGGGGGTTAAAATATAAAGGATATAAAAAAATAAATAATGTATTATGAGAGAGTGATGCCAACGCTGCATTCTGGAGAAACAACTTACCAATGGTTATACATACATCATCACCCTGTTTAGTATAATGTTACACACCTTGTGCCCATGTATGTATTATACTGTATATAAACCTGATACTCATTTTCCCAGCGGTACCCTTAATCCTCTTCCGTCTCTGGGCCAGGAGCTTACATTTCCTCTATTCGTATATGAATTTTTGTTACCAAGATAGTTGTCTAAAGCTGTCACAAGCGGACTCTTTCTTTTTTCCTTATTGGTTTTCTAGTAATAAGAAACAATTTTATTTGCGTAGATTCAGAATAATATTGAATTTGTATTTTGAATAACTTTATTTACTGTTACTTGATATGCACTGCTAGTCTCTCCTCTGATGTGTTCTCTGAAGGTCCTCTGTCTGCTTCAAACACTTATGTAGATTGTTGTTGGCTTCAAACTGTGGATGAACTTGTGTAGGCTTTTTATATTCTCTTTCTCTAATTTCCCCACTTTCTTCTACTTCTGTTCCGACCTATACTTTCCTCCTTAGATTCTGCCAATGCAACTCTCAGTTCGTTCTCTGGTTGCTGTAGCTCCAGGACCCTGGTTGTACTTTGGAGTCACATTCCCCCTCCTTGTCGTCCCCACAATCAGAGCCTTTAAAAAATTAAATAAAAATATTTTTGCTCCATTTCCCATTAACTTGGCACTTTCATCCAAAGTTATGTCACCTTAAGCCTCCAGCTTCACTCATTGTCACTATATGTACAAACCCCCTTGACTTTAACATCTGTCACTTGCCTATTCTAATATCTAATGATATCACGTTGAAATGGGTGGATTCTATTCAGATCTAGAGCTGTAGAACTGCTCTCTCTGGAGCAGCACTTGTTATGTTAGCAAGTCATACGGATCCATGTTTAATGCTCTTCGGTGCCATTAAAAATGCTTCCTTCACTTGCAATCCAGCTACTGCCCTTGTACCAAAGCTGAATGGAGCAAACCTGGGCGAGATAAACAGGGCCGGTGCAAGCATTTTTGGAGCCCTAGGCGGAAACAAATGTGCCGCCCCATTTGCTTCACCCAATCATGCAGACTAACACACGCTGACTCAAACAGACACACACTGACCATGCAAACTGACACACATGCACTAACCCATGTAGACTGATGCACACAGACTCATATACACACACTTACAGACACACTGACCGATGCAGACACACACACACACACACACATAGACACAGTGGCCCATACAGACAGACACACTGACATACATAAACATACTGACTCAAGCAGACTAACACACATTCTCTGGAATACCTTACCTTCATTGCTGTTCATTGCCTGCGCCTGGCTCACGTCCTTTCTCTGCACATTTCCTGTTATGCTCCCGCCCACTTCTCCCCACGTACAGGGAAAGGGGCGGGAGCAATGCATGTTTGGTGGGGGGGGCCTGGCTTAGCCTGCTGTGGTGGATGCCGCCGGACCTGTGTTCTACCGAGCGCTAGTGAGCAACAATGTAAGTGCTTCCGAGCACCCGGTAAAATGGCCGGCGGCATACTCAAAATAATCTAATTTGATGGAGGGGCGGCCGCGATACAAACATAAAGCCAGGGCCTGCGTCCCCCCCTTAAGCAGCGCCCTAGGCTGACTCCTAGTTTGCCTATAGAGAGCGCCAGCCCTGGAGATAAATATCTACAAACAATCACCAGTGGATTCTCTGGGGTAATCAAGCCTTCCCACGGAATTTCACAGTAAAGTTGAAAAAAATAGTAACTCTAAATCCAGAAAGATATATAAAAGTGTCCAAAAAAATATCAATCAACATTATTATTATTATTATTATTAACATTTTTATAGCGTCAACTTAATTCGCATTGCTTTAAAATATTATTAAGGGGAACATTTTAGCAATAAATGAGACAATTACAAAATGTTACAGGGACAATAGGTTGAGGAGATTCATGATCAAAACACAATAGGAAAGGCTGCGTCATGGTGGGAAAGTAGCAGAACTGGAGGTGAGAGTAGAGTGTGGCTCTTTAAGAGAAAGTGTGAGATTTGTGAAATGATTTACTCTGGGAGGCCACAGGTATTCTGAAGGACTACTTAAATGATTAAAGGCTGTGGAGAATCTGATGGGAGATGATTAATGCAGCGTTGTGTTTTGGCGCATGTGCATAAGCTTCCCAATACTTTACTATTGAATTAGTTGAGATAGTTAATTCTGATTATCTCAGCCACTATGGTAGCGGTCAGCCAAGGGCCCCTGCGGCACTGGGGAAAAAGGTTTTTACCTTATTTAAGGGAAGCAAGGGGGGCAAGTGACCTAAATAGTGTTTTAACACTATAGGGCAAGGAATACAGTTTTGTTTTACTGACCCTATAGTGTTCCTTTAAGTGCATTTGAGTGCCTCCAGTTATTAAATGTGCATAGGGATTTGGGACAGTTCGCAAGTAACTTTTCTTTGTGTATTGGGGCTCATGTGTACTATAATCATTGCTGCTATCCAGCAGTAGTGGGAGTTTGAGTGCAGGGCTTAATTTTGTATGTTTGTAAGAAACACACATACACAAGATAACAGTGCCGATAGATGCACAAATACAACTCTATAATCCAGCCGCAGCAACCAAATATAGCACAAACAGAATATGGCAACATGCACACACTTTAATTTAAAAAAAATAAAAATAATAGGACCGGTACACCTAGGAACCTCACGTTATTGTTTTGGAACAGTGCTGCTAAAATGTTGCCTACCTCTGGGATTGGCCATCACTTGTTTTGGATATAATCAAATCAAATAAAATGTGGCATTCTTTGCAAAGCAGAATTAATTTAGAAACATCCCTGCAGGGGGTTAAAGAATATGCTTGTAAACAGTTAGACCAAATTCCTTATGAATGTGCAACCCCTTTGTGCTTTCGTAAATTCACCTAGCTGTATCTGTATGCTCTAGACGTTTTGTACCAAATGTACTTCATCAAAACCTATTGATCGAATGAAGAATTTTACTTTGCTTTGTGGTGAATGACTCATTTTGATTTAATTTGATCTTTCTGTAATAGCTCGAAAGAGTCAAAAACTATAATTTAAAGTGTATCTGCAAGAAATACATTTAGCTAAAATCACCAGTATAGAAAATTGTGTTTGCAGAATTGCTAACAAATTTATTTATTTTTTTTTGTTTCTGAAAAATCTATGAAAGGGTAAGTTTCTTCCTGTCACATGTCCTTTAAAGGATCACTATAGGGTCAGGAACACAAACATGTATTCCTGACCCTATAGTGTTAACACCACCATCTAGCACCCCTGGGCCCCTTCATGCCTCCATAAATATAGTAAAAATCTTACTGTGTTCAAGCCAGAAGTTGTAAATCTGCATGCTGTTAGACTCAGAAAAACAAGCAGTCTGCTGACATGTGGTAGCCTGATCCAATCACAGTGCTTCACCATAGGATTGGTTGAGATTGACAAGGAGGCAGATCGGGGCAGAGCCAGCATGATTCAAACACAGCCCTGGCCAATCAGCATCTCCTCATAGAGATGAATTGAATCAATGAATCTCTATGAGGAAAGTTCAGTGTCTGCATGCAGAGGGAGGAGATACTGGATCACAGGATGCTGTGCACAGTGCTGCCCTGTGCTCTGCTGACAGCAGATCTGAGTGGATGGCAACTCCGAAGTCCCTCTGGTTCATTCTGAGTGACTGCAACTGGAGGTGTTCCTAGCTTTCAATGTAAACACTGTATTTTCTCAGAAAATACAGTGTTTACATGAGAGGCTGCAGGGAGCTCTAGTTCTCACCTGAACAACCTCATTAAGCTGAAGTTGTTCAGGTGACTTCTCCTACATGTATTACCTCAATGCTTAGTTACAGGAAAGAGCAGTTAAAGTTATATTTCAAGGCACCTGTGAAGAACTCACTCATAAAAGACTATGATCCACTGAGCTCTTACCTCCCTGTCCAGTTGCCTACCCTTTTCTCCCCTCACTGAGACCCGAAGTGTCCAGACGCTATTAGCGGGACCAGCCTGATGCCACAATGGAACTCCGGCTCGGCTACTCAAGATTTCCCAGTCACCTTGGACCTCCATTTTCCTCCCTTTCCCAGCAACGCAGAAGAGGGCTTTTTGGAGGGAAGATTATGTTCATGGAAGGGAATAATTGCTCCCTTAAACCATCAGGGAGCTCCAGATCACCGAGGATTTAACCGGACCGCATGGAACTCTTTTCGGCCAGGACGGTGGTAGCGGTTGGGCAAAACTTTGACTGTGTGGGATTTTAGACAGTTATGCATGGATCAGAGTGCTATTTTCTCAGAATGGGCGCTCTTATTTCCCCTTTAAAATGATGTATAATATGTGGGGATACATTATTGCTTAAGAGATGTTTCTGGGGTCTTTCTGTGTTGTGCTCTCTGTATTCGGGAGATAATTAGTTTACCGGTTATCAACTCAATTATCTCCCAGACACAGAGACGCTTTGGCGGGCTTAGGGAGTTCTGAATAGAGACCCCATGCTGAGGGTCTGTGTATAAAATGTGTGTGCTTTGGCCTAATAAAAGCAGTTCTTGTACCCTTCCTCAAGTCTTGACTGATGTTTGGGTATGCCGGAAGTTGTAATCACTGCTTCACTAAAGGACCTGGGAGAATCTACAGCGGAGGTACCATTCTGAGTACGGAGCCCCGTTACAGCACCTATCACTGATTGCTCATTTAGCATATGCCTCTCATACTTTGCTAGAGGACTACAGAAAGAGTAACATCTTGAGTGCCAGAGGTTGCCTACCTCTGTTATAGTGCTAGTGCTGCCCTTCGTCTAAAGACACCTCCTAAATGCCTCCATTAACCTAAAACCGCTCTATCACCAACCGATACACTTTACCCTCACTAAACATTGCCCCTACTCTAACTTGCATTGCAGGTTCAAGAATTTAAGGTTTTATATTTATATTTAATATATTTTTCAAATTTTGCATATACATCTAAACGTGTTGCTGTGTGTATTGCATAATACGCTGTTAAGATTGTATAGGGGTTAATTAGACATTTTCTGTATAAACACATATGTGTTCCTTGCAAACAAAGTGCATTTTATAAATTCACTTACTTTTCCCACTATAGATTTTGGATGGATTTATGGTTACCAGCACAGCACGTCAACCACCCAGACTAGTCACTTTGTTTTTTCTACTGGATTATTTGACATTGATTTGGTATGTTCAAATTCTCTTTGTATTTGTTTTTCTTTTGTGTGTGTATGTGTGTGTTACAAAATAACAATTAAGGTGAACAATGGCACGAAATTCTGTGTAGCAAATTAACTTTTTATAGTGATATAATTAAACTTAAATATTATTTCAGTGCAGCAACCACTCCGATATTGACATATATCCAGTTTAGAAAACTTAATAAAAACGATGGCGTGTATATTTAAATTTCACAGTGTTGTGCTTTCTCAATAGAAGTTCATGCAATGGCATTGATATGTCGAGATTATTTTAAATTACGTGTTTTAAGAGTACTACAGTTTTTTTTTTTGTTTTTTTTTTTTAAGCTTAAATTTATTCAAGTTTTTTTTGCGGTGGAGTTTGGGGATGAGCAAGAGGATGGAGATTTAGAAAGGGGTCACTAAATAATTTTTGCTCCAAGCCACCAGTGTCATGTATTTTCTACAGGTAATGACTATAGAGAGCCAAAGATACTACTTTAATATAAAATCTATATCTATTTATGCTTACGCCTAGCTAAATGTTACAGTTTCTATTTAATAGGATCTGTCACAGCCCAGACTTTATACTTCTTTGTTGAACAGAAAATGTGTGCTTTTCTTTCTGACTTTTGTGCTTGAGAAATGTCAAATCTGAGAGCAGAAACATGCAGTTTGGGCCTACCCAGCATAAATCAATTTAACATTTCTGCGTTAGGAATTTCAGGCATATTTCTCTTGATGTCGTATGATAGTCACATGTGAAGTCACCAGTCAGTTGGTGTAAATGGGAGCTTCTTCTATCGGTGATACTGCTGTTCTCACCAGCCTTTCATTTTTAGAATTTAAGACAAAAGTATGAGTTGGTGCTTAAACTTTGACATTCCAAATGAAGTGGCTTGTTTCCTGTGATTCTAAGCAAGAGGAGAGGTGAGGTGGCAGAGAATCCGGTGTGCCAAATGTCACAGATAAATGTAAATCAGATTTTTTTTTATTACTTCTCTATACACCAGTAAAATGTTATATGTTGATAGGCCTTACGTTTACCCTTAATACCTCCCCCTCCCCCCAAAAAATAGACTGGTGGAACATATATTTCTTGCATCTTTCCCTAACAGTGTATGTAAATAGAAAATAATTTTTTGATTGTTATTGGTGGTGTTATGTATTAGGGGATAGAGATACTTAATGCATTAGACTTGGCAAAGGCTCGGGTAAGAGCTGAAACATCGTCCGCATATTTTGTTCCTTAATAAAGACTGCCTCTTTAAGAAACCATTGGTTTGTGTCTGGACTTTTGTGTATATTTCCAGTGAAAGCTTTGTCCACTTTTTGGTACAATGATCACTGGCTGGTGACCCATCATGCTTATCCTTTATAGAGAGACAACAGATTCTTCAGTGTTTTGCAATTATAGAACAGAGATATCTGAGAAGTAATTCATACAAAATAATGACCGAGATGAAAGGTAAAGAAGGCCCTGATCAAACAAACTTGCCATCTTCGAGGAAGGGATAAAAAAACACCAGAATAAGAACTCCATGTCAGAGGTGACAATAGATTGAGGGATAAGGATGCCTGTGTTGAAATAAATAATTAATTATTATTGCTACTACTGGTATTTATGTAGCGGCAGCATATTCCGTAGTGCTTTACAATATTATCAAAGGGGGAGATTTAACAATAAATGAGACAATTACAGAAACGTACAGGAACAATATATTCAAGAGGGCCCTGCTCAAACGAGCTTACAGTCTATAGGAAGTGGGGTATAAAACACAACAGGACAGGATGTAGCAATCAAACAAGGTTGAGTGAAGCCGAACTGGAGGAGAGAGTAGAGTGCTGCCCTTTAGGAGAGAGCAAGGGACAGGTATGTGAGGTAGAGATTACTCTGTGAGGCCAAAAGCTTTCCTAAAGAGATGGGTTTTGAGGCACTTTTTAAATGATTGAAGACTAGGGGAGAGCTTGATGGTCGTAGGCAGGCTATTCCAAAGGAAAGGAGCTGCCCCTAGAGAAGCACTGCATGCGTGAGTTGGCCGTACAGATGCGAGCAGCGGACAGGAGAAGTTCATGGGCAGAGCGGAGAGACCGAGAAGGGGCAAACCTATGGATCAGTGAAGAGATATAGGAAGGGCTAGAATTGGTCAGTACTTCATAGGTGTGGATTAGTACCTTGACTTGACTCCTATAGAATACAGGAAGCCAATGTAAAGACTGACCAAGGGGTGAGGTGTGAGAGGACCGACAGGAGAGGAAAATCAGTCTAGCTGCAGTATTCATTACAGACTGTAGAGGGGCAATTCGACTTGTCGGAAGACCTATTATAACCTTTACATGTTACTTTGTGCACACACTGGAACTCTACAAAAACACACACTAGCACTCCAAATTCTCACACTAGCACTCACAACACGCTCATCAGTCCCTTACACACACTAACACTCAACACAAATATGCTCCTTCATTCACAGTAATAGTCACATGTTGCCATTCAGCCACTCAATTAGGCACATACTCCAAACTGGTCATATTCCCCTGAGAATGATGCAATTGAAGAAAAAAATTAAAACAAGCTGAAATAAATGTACTTGTTCTACTTCTAAAACATTATTTTGATGGAATTAGAAGGAAGTTTTAAAACTACTTGTACAATAGCACAACCTGCCTCTCTCTTATGCTGGAACAGAACGGCAAACTAGTAAATACACATGTCCTTATCAGAATAGTGTGCGTGTATATGTATTGATCCTCTAGGTACTTCTCATTCATGAAAAACACAGTTCTTCATATCTGTTACTATGGACCACATGCAACTCTACCCCAAGTGCATATGTCTCTCTCCTTGAAAATGTGCAATTCTGTATGGACCCACACAGCGTTCTCTACAGTTATTATAGCTGGATATGATGCTGCGCAACAGTGGTTTGACATACTAAAGTATTCCCATTAAAATAAGATGGTAGGGGGCAGGATTGTCTGAGAAGTCCTGTGCGTGCTGCCAGATGCATTCATTCTAGGAAGGTTAAATTAACTTTTTTAGTAAATGACATAGCCTTTTCTCTGCAAGACACATTAAGTGACAACTGGTTTGTTCTGCCTTAGCTTTACTTTTTGTCCAATGTGAACTTGCAAATTTTTTTATTAACTTTATGTAACAGAACATGAAATATATCTCTTTATGAGATGCAGGTATGTTCTGGTGTGCCCAATACAACTCAGATCTCATTCACTGTCTTTATACAACAGCTTAAAAATATAGAATGGGCAGATACAAAGTGAATGATAAAAATTCACATAACTCCGCAATACAGTATTATTAGATTAAGTTGCAGTATTGTTATTAAAGTGGCTCTGTCACACACAAAAAAAATCAAATTTACATTACTTGCTTCTATATCGCTCCATGCATCTGAATCTTTTTGTATGTTTGTTGTTTTCCTAAGTGTTTTAGTTTTCATTAAATACATATATAGAAGTAGTAGACTACTTTTCTTCATATATAGAAGTTAGAGTGACATAACTTGACAATGGGTGCAACTTAAAGCAAGGTTCTGTTTTAGTTACCAATCAAATTTATCCACAATCCAGCAGTAGAATTAATCTCACAGAACAGAAACTGCAGACATCATGGCAGAAGGAGAGCAAAATGGCTGCTACCAGGTATTGAAATATGGCACAAGCAAACAAAGATTATACCTATAAATAAAGTCAAGTGGCAAGGGAGGCAGTATACTCATGAAAATACAGGGACATAAGAAAAGAAAAATACAAAAAAAATAAATGAATGACTGGGCCCCTTAAAATAATTATTACATTCTTCACTATGTACCTGCCAGAGTCATGAATCCTATATTTCACATGTGGAGCTCCGCACAAATAAACTGGACATTTTGTTATTCATAACACTGTGAAGGCGAGGTACACCTCGTGCTGTTATAATGTAGATTCTCGTCACAGTTAATCTGTTTTCACAGCGAGCTGTCAAGTCATGTACTGCTAATAATGTAGAAAGATTTTTTTTTTATTTTCTCCCGTTTTCTTACTTTCATCATATTGGGTACTTTTTCTAGAATTTCGTTAATATCGTGGGTAGTTTAGAATGCACTTCTAAAAATTGGCAATGAAGATTTAAAGAGGTCTTTGGATAGATTTAAATTCCTGTGAGAAAATGTCAAAAAGATTACAAAATGCAGTTAAAATGAGAATCACTTTCAATAGGCAGCATTTTACTTTTATTGACCGTATAATTGAAAACTACATAGCTAACAGTGTGTGATGGGATATAATAGCCTGCCGTATTGTGTGGTGTGTACTCTCCCAGATACAGTCATATGTCACACTGATAGCTCAGGGATACTGTAACCTGCCACGCAGAGCTTGGGTCAAAATAGAGAATACAGTACAGGGCCTACTACCAGTCCTTAGAGTGGCTGGGCTAGTAAAATCATGTTTTTACCTAGAGTACATGTAGCATAGTATTATAAAGCTAGATACATACCTATCAGTTGACAAAGGTAGAAACTTTACATTTTAGTAGTGTAAATGGGGATGTGACCAAAGGTGCGGCTGTTCTGAGAAATTATAACAATTTATGCAACTAAAATGTAATTTAGAACATGAACTGATTTCACTGATTTCTAAACACATTTTATTGTAATTTAAAAGACACATTACTGGGAGTATTATTGATGTGGAGCTCTGTACATTCAACACACCAACAATATGGAACTCCTAGAAAAGAGTTACATTGGGATTGAAAAGAGGGATTTGAGCCCAAAATAGGGACTGTCCCTCCTAAATAGGGATACTTCAGAGGTATGGAAACAAGGCAAGGTCACTGACAAGTACCAGAAGTCAGAATGAAAATCTTTAGTAAAAGGCAAAAGATTTTACTCTGGTTTCTCTTCAGACTGAATAAATCTTTTGCCTTTTACTACAGATTTCCGTGGAGAGGAACGGCCACGCGTTTCACTGGTCTTGTTCTATTCACATGAACTACACACAACTGGTGTACAATAAATGAATTTTTTCCTTGCATACCTATATTCTTGATATATGCATGTGAGTGCGGTATTAAGATTTATGTTTTTTGTATATTTTACGAGGTTTGATTGGGGATGAACCTCTAATACCTGCACCACTGCGTGACAGAGTGCCAGCACTACCTATATTTGTTTGTAAATAGATAGTTAAGTCTAATGGTCACCAACTATTGTGGTAACATGAATCATTGCTATAACCCTCAAAAAAATCAATACATATTGAAATACATGTTAACAATATTGTGTAGAAAACCGGTATAAGATAAATAGATGGTTTAGGCTAATGGTCACCAGCTCGTGTGGTTATATGGTACATTGCTATAACTATCAGAAAAAGTTGATATATAGCAAACTAACTGTTTGGGGATCACAGTGTAAGATTAGTCCCAAAAAATATATCCATGCACACGTACTGTGCCAAGAGATATATATATATATATATATATATATATATATATATATAATATGTGTGTGCATATTAACCAAAGTTGGTATGGACCTAACTGAGTAATAAATAATAGTGTATACTGTACCAGGGAATAGAGAAATAAGGAGGGAGGAGGGGGGTGTGAAACAAACAGTTATTCAGAACAAAGGTAATCTTTAAGAAATTTATTCTGAACCATATATATGAAACTAAGTAACTATCTGACTAAATTAAAGAAATCCCCTGTGCCTTCATGGGCACCTGAACTTATTCCCTATACTAAATAACGTGCCTTGGCAGTCCAAATGTTAAATAATGATTTGGTAGGACTAAGATGACAGAGGAGTAGATTCTACAATAAGTCAAGTGAGGTCTGTACTCCAAGAAAATGCTATACTAATCTCACTGCAACTTCCCTGCACCTACTGCTATTCCCACAATCGACTAATAACACATGGTGCCTAAGAAAAAGAGGATAATCGTTCAGTGCATGGGTGAATTAAAAAATTAGCATGGTAGCAAGTCCGTCTGTTGTAATCAGATCAAACAACACAGCACTAACAGCTTGTTTGATCTGATGACAGCACACGGACTTGCTACCATGCTAATTTTTTAATTCACCCATTTTTTTATTCACCCATTCTCTCCCCCCCCTTCTTCCCCCTTTACTTCTCTATTTCCTGGTATATCATACACTATTATATATTACTCCGTTATGTCCATACCAACTTTGGTTATTATTTATATATATATATATATATATATCTTGGCACAGACGTGTGCGTGGATAGATTTTTTACTAAAGGACCACTATAGGCACCCAGACCACTTCAGGTTAATGAAGTGGTCTGGATGCCAGGTCCCTCTAGTTTTAACCCTGCAGCTGAAAACATGGTAGTTTCAAAGAAACTGCTATGTTAACACTGAGGGTTAATCCAGCCTCCAGTGGCTGTCTCATTGACAGCCGCTAGAGGCGCTTCCGCGATTTCTTGTTGTGAAAATCACAGTGAGAAGACGCTGGATGTCCATAGGAAAGCATAGAGCAATGCTTTACTATGGGTGGTTTGAATGTGCGCGCGGCTCTTGCCGTGCATGCACATTTGGAGCTGATGTCGGCAGGAGGAAGACAGTTCCCCAGCGCTGGGCTTTTAACCCCTTCAGCCCAGCGGGAAGAGGGCCATGAGGGTGGGGGGAGGGGGACCTAAGGACTACATAGTGCCAGGAAAACAAGTTTATATAGTGCTCCTTAACTTTGGAGTAATCTTACACTATGATCCCCTAACAGGTAGTTTGAAATAGATAATTTTTTTCTGATAGTTATAGTAATGCACCATATAACCACACGAGCTGGTGACCATTAGGCCAAACCATCTATCTATTTATCTTGTACCTGTAATCTACACACTATTGTTAACACTATTGTTCGATATGTATTGATTTTAATTTTTTAATTTAATTTTTTTGGATGGGTATAGCAATGAATCATGTTACTACATGAGTTGATGACCATTAGACTTAACTATCTATTTACTCATCTTATAACTGTTTTCTCACACACTATTGTACACGAGCATCACTTTATATAAGCGTTTTCTCACATTAGGTCATTTTTAACAATTTTCAATAAAATGTATTTATTTTCTCTATTTGGTTCTTCTGAGTCTGAAAGGCAGCTGACACCCTTTGCAGACTATATTCTATCTCAGTCCCCTTTGGTACCCTATTCTCTGTCTATTTATACAGAGATTCAAACTGAAACGCTACGCATACAGACTCAGAACACCATTACCACTTCAAAACACTACCAGTCATGGTACTTGGAGTAACTCAAATGGCCCTTTAATGCATTAATCTTTGTTTACTGCTATGAACCAAAGCAAGGATGATGGAGTATTGCTTCTACACGCACATGTTGGACCAGTGTGGGATCGTGATACTGTAACAAGCCTAATTGTGGAATCTCAAAGTTTCAGGTGCTGGGTGCTGGTCTCGTTAAGTTAAAATTCTAGATAACTTTATATTTATAGAATCACACGATCTTACAGTACTGAGCTGCTACTCTTTGTAAAAATGAGTCAAGGCAACCGTTTAGATGGATTTTTCGTATTCAATTAGTCAAGTGCAAAGCAAAACATTGAAAGACATTGAATGCAGGCAGAGATTTTGAAGTTGTTTATTCCAATCTCAAGTTGAGTCTGTAATGGGCTTCGGTATAATGCCTTCTGTCATCCAGCATTATAACTCTGCAGGCCACCTGTGGCATTGCACATTTCGATAAAAGTGGTAAAAATGTTAGCATTCTTCCTGAATAAAGCGTACTTTGACTAACAGCTTGGTTTGAGAATTTTAAGTAAACCTCTTTAAATTCTTCAATTTTGGCATAAAGAGCTGTGAATGCATTATGACAAAAGCACTTGTAATGTAAAATACCTGCTTTTGAGTCTATTATGTCGGGTTTTTGTTGGAACCTTTGCAAATGAACTTGTTGATGGAGTTGCACTTTAGCAAGCCCATCACAAGCAAACACTTCTACTAAAATGTTATGTATGTGGTTCTAGACTGCTTAGGTTAGTCTCTGTATGAATTGTTATACATTTAAAGTAGTTTTGAGGCCTAAATAGCTGAACAGCTTGGATAGTTTTGTGGCCCTTCCAGGGGCGGAACTAATGTAAAGAGGGCCTGGTTCAAGAAAAACCTATTTGGCCCCTCTCTAGTGTAAGAGTGGTGAAAAGGTAGATCCCCCATCTGTTGTACAACTCCTACCATGCTATGCCAGCTTAGGATCTACCATTTGTCCATCCTTGCAGGGTTGTATTTGTGAGAAGTGTTTGTGCTTTTGAATGTAAGCATGTTTTTGCATAGGGTATGTGTGTGAAAGTAGAGATGTATTTGTATGTACTGTTACCATTGGAATGCGTAGGTGTGTTTGTGTGTAGTTCTGGCTTTTAAATGCAGGTGTGCTTTTATATGTAGAGTTGTTTTTTGTACATAATTTTAGCGTTTCATTACAGTGGATATACATTTGTGTTGTATTGGTGTTTGAGTGAAAGTGTGTATTTGTATAGCATTGTGGAGTTTGAACTCAGAGGTGTATTTGTATGTTGTGCTGGTGTTTGATTACTGGGGTGTATGTACATACATATACATTAACACACCGATATAAACATACTGACACACAAATATACACACTGACACATGCACACACCTTACAACATATACACACTGGCACATACATAACTTTGCCATTAGCAATAATCAGCATGGTTTTATGAAACATCGGTCATGTCAAACTAACCTAATTGCATTCTACGAAGAAGTAAGTAGAAGTATAGATCACGGTGTTGCAGTGGATGTGATCTACTTGGATTTTTCCAAGGCATTTGATACGGTTCCTCACAATAGGTTAGTCTTCACACTAAAATAAATTGATCTAGATGAATATTCTTGTTCTTGGGTAGACCATTGGCTTAAGGATAGAGTACAATGAGTTGTCATTAATGGTAAATTTTCAGTCTGGATAAAAGTGGTAAGTGGTGTCCCTCAGGGTTCTGTTTTGGGACTGCTTCTATTTAACATATTTATAAATGATCTTAAAATAGGCATTGAAAGCTATGTATCAATGTTTTGCAGATGACACAAAACTTTGTAAAGTAATACAATGTGAGCAGGATATTGCTTAGCTGCAGAGAGATTTAGATAGATTAGAGGACTGGGCACTAAAATGGCAGATGAAATTTAATGTAGAGAAATGCAAAGTTATGCACTTCGGGGTCAGGAATGCACAAGCAATTTATACCCTAGATGGTAGTGAATTAGGGGTAACCACACACACAGGAAGGATTTGGGAATTGTTATAGACAACAAATTAGGCAGCAATATGCAATTTCAATCTGCAGTTGCTAAAGCCAGTAAGATTTTGTCATGTATAAATAGGGGCATACATTTTTGGGATTAAAATATAATTTTGCCTCTTTATAAATCGCTGTTAAGACCACACCTTGAAAATGCTGTGTAATTTTGGGCACCTGTGTAGGATATCATGGCACTAAAAAAAGTGCAAAGACTAGCAAAATTGATAAAAGGAATATGGAGCATTTTAGTTACGAAGAAAGGTTAAAAAATGTAAATCTCTTTAGTTTGGAAACAAACGGCGCCTCAGAGGGAATATGATAACATTAAATAAATATATTTGGGGCCAGTACAAACCATTATCTGGAAATCTATTTATAAACAGGGCTATACATAGGACATGAGGTCACACATTTAGGCTGGAAGAAAGGAGATTTAACCTAAGGCAAAGAAAAGTTTGTGGGTTTTTTTTTTTTTTACGGTAAGAACTATAAGGATATGGAATTCTCTGCCTGAAGAGGTGGTTTTATCAGAGTCCATACAGATGTTTAAACGGCAATTGGATAAATACTTCCTAAAACATAACATACAGGCATATCATTTCTAATTAGTGGGGTAATGGCTGCTTGATCCATTTTGAGGGCAAGTAGGAATATTTTTCCTAGTTTGTTGCAAAATTG